ATCTATGCCCATCAAATCTGGGAAGAAAAATAAGTCTGTGAGCAGGCGGAAGCGTGACCGCGGTCAAAAAGATCTTGTAGATAAAGATATAAGTAACGGGAAAGATCTTGTGTGCTTGCCATTCTACCACAAAAACGTTCAAGGGAATGGAAGCATTCACTTTGATACGTTACAGAAAGAAATCGCCCCAGTAGCTCTATTAGACGACGACCCGCTTATCCATTACTGTGCTCTGATTTGCTGGCCTCGATTGACCATAAGCACTATTTTTCAGCCCTCGCTCTTAGAAGCAGTCACCTGTCATCAAGTCGCAAGCTTTAAAAAATATCCCGATAAATCCCTAGTAGCCCGCACATTAACTAAAAAAACCAAATCACTAACACGATGCCGCCTGCGCTGCCCGCCGCCATGTTCATGGACGCCCCGCCGACCACCGAGATGTTAAAACGTTGGCAGTGCGTATACACCCTCCAAAACGAAGGGCGGTTACGCACCTGGCGTATGCACCCTCCAAAAAACTTTCAGATGATTGTGAGTGTCAAGCATACGCAGATTGGCGGCCTTGGAGGCAAGAAAGTGTAAAAATGCAGAATCCCGTGCGAAAAGTCGGCTCTATGCGTGATAGACATCAAATGATCACTGTATTGTAGCGTAGCGAATTACGGCAGTGTTTCAACATGCTCCGCTGCGCCGTTTGGAAATATGACCAACTCACCAGTGGACTGCGACATGCCGTGCCGCGCGTTTTGCGTTGTGCCTGAAAGCCTGCCCAGCCAAAAAACTCCCATCGTTCTGCACTGGGCGTGTAGGCAACGAGACTGGCGACGAGGTTATTAATTTTGATTTGTTATTTTCACGCTCAGTTGCCTGCCATAAGTTTTAAATCCCGCCTGAACAGGGATGACATTGCCGACGCTGGAATAGCCGCAGTTTGATGTGGCGCACCCCGATCAGTGGCCTAAATGGCTCCGTCGACTGGAAAGCATGTGTCTGGCGATGGGAGTTGAAGACCCTGCCCGGAGAAAGCATACTTGCCCCATTTTGCTGGCCCTGCAGTGTTTGATCTGCAAGAAACGCTGCCACAGCCCCCGCCTGTCGCGGGAGAGGTCGCAGATGATGTCTACAAAAAGATATGCAGGCAGCTCGGGTCATATTTTGTTCCGCAGAGAAATATAGACGAGTGCGATGTGTTCCGCCAAATGATGCAAATGGAAGGTGAGTCGTATTTGTGGCCCGCCTCAAGCACCTCGCCAATACCTGTGATTTCACCGATTCCGCCCGGGAACTCCGCCAGCAGAGATCATGGGAGTCAGAGATCCCAGGGCGAGGGAAAAGGCCCTGCAACAGAAAATGACACTCAAGGAACTGCACTCGTTTGCAAGAGGCTTGGAGCAGGCCAGAGCCCAAGCTGGTGCTATTGAAGCACACCATTCGAACAGATTTGCCGCGCTACAGGCAAATGTCCAGGCACAAAATGTAGTGCAAAAACAAAAGCCCGTCCCAAGCGTGGTGCAAAAGAAAATGCACCAAAGCAACCAGCCCAGTCACAGTGTTTCGAACACAGAAGGATGCACAATATGCAACAGCCCGAAACATGACCAGTGGGAGTGCCCCTTTAAAAAGCAGGACTGCTTTCACCGTGGAAAACGGGGTCACACTCAAACAGCATGCCGCAAGCCGCAACAAAGGTCAGCATGGTTTTACCAGAGTAAAACAGTTGGACCAAGCACACAATCTGCAAGCTCAGCATGAAAGCTCGCGTGAGGAGTACCTCCTGAGGACCAACAAGTCTACACAGGAGACAACAGTAAGTGAAAACCGTCCAATCGAGACAACAGTGCAAGTGGATGGAAAGCCAGCGCAGTGGGAAGTTGATACTGATGCAACAGTCAGTGATGTGGGAACGGCTGTTCCGCAAGCTATGGCCAAACAGGAAATTTGAGGAATCCGGACAGAAACTAAAATACACAGGTGAGCCCATCTCTGTGGTAGGGGAAGTCAAGGTGATTGTTGCAAGAAAGTGACATAAGAGTCCAGCTACCACTGGTTGCAGTGCGTGGATCCAGCAAGCCCCTACTGGATAGAAATTGGCTATCCAAGGTGAAACTCAGCTGGCATGGAATCTTCCACGTGAAGGCCTCACTGGAGGAAACAGCACAAGAGATGCTGAAAAAGTTCCCAAATCTGACGAAGCCCGAGTTGGGGAAAGCCAACACTGAAGCCCACCTGGAGATAAATCCGAACGTCAAACTGGTGTTCTGCAAACCGCGATCGGTGCCCCTGGCACCGCGACCACTGGTGGAAGAGGAGCTGGATCGTCAAATCAAAGCCGGAATCCTGAAGCCCTGCAGGTCAGCACAGTGGACTGCACCCCTGGTGACAGTGTTGAAGCCAGATGGCGAAGTGAGACTCTGCGGTAGCTACAACCTAACTGTAAACGGAGCTAGTCACTTGGAACAATATACACTGCCCAAAGTGGAAGAGCCTCTCACCCAACTTGCTGGATGTCAAAAGCTCACAATAATCGACGTGGAACAGCCGTACTTGCAGATTCCGTTGTCAGAGTCAAGCCAAGCCCTCTGAGCAAATGCAAAGAAATGAAGAACAACGTGGAATGTTCCTAAACGACCGAAATGAACCAGCAAGGGACATATAGGTCTCCCGGAAACAGCATGCGGCCTAGACGGTGTAATGGGGCCTACAATTCCCAGTTCACAACTTTTCCAATCATTGAATAATTTTTGGGACTTCTCATAGGCCCTTCACTTTCGCTTATAACTTCTTGGTGGCCTGAAAGTCCAGAGATACCCAGTTTTGCTGCGTTTTGTGTTAAAAAAACTGCATCTGTTCGGCCGGCTATCGGCTCCCCGGAGCCAATGGAACCCTTCGGGGCCCAACGGGGCGGGGGGGGGGGGGGGGGAAGCCGGGGCCCCCTCTCTGGATCCGCCCCTGCTTGCTACCATACGTTTTGGGGATACTTCTGTTATTTTCCACTTTTTTGCCCATCCCCCGAACTCAGTTTGCCCTTGATGTCGGACTGTCGTGGGGAAAAAGTGATTGATCCTAGGCCTGAAGCGTCATTCAAGTGAACACAACGAAGTCTCAAGTGGGAACACCGTAAATCCGATATGGGGCCCGAAGGACTGGGCCCCGGCCTGGGCCTGGGAGCCCATTTTCCAAGCAGGGACAAGGTCGACCCGCGATTTACATTGGTCAGTGCACCCCGAGCCAATGAGGAGCCCCTGTGTCGGCCAGGGGCGCACAGCGCCTAACCGGAGGTCCGGTGTTGACAAGGCCCCCGAGTTGGTCAGGAAGTGTGCGAGGGTGGCTGAAGATGGACCGACGTGCCCTTTAAGACTGACGATAAACGGGCTGATGGGAAGGCTGCATGGCCGTAAGGGGAAAGGCTGCAAGTCATCCTGGCCCGTATGGCTGTGATCCCAAATGTCAGCCAACATGCCTCTTTCGCCGATTGTGGACCCCTGGGACAGCGCGGGCACCTATTTCGGCCGGGGACCACTGCATCGAATAGTTGACTCCGTGTTGTTCTGAGCCCTGGGGCCCCATTTCTCTAGCAGGAACGAGACCGAGGCCCGCGATTTGCGTTGGTCGGAGTCCCTACAACAATGAGTGGTCTTTTGACGGTCAGGCCTCCAGTGTACAACAGGGGGTCCTGTGACGGAAGGAGTCCCGAGTCGGCCAGAGGTGACCCGGGGCCCTTGCGGGGCCCTTCATTCCGTTTTAGCCAAGGGTCCGTTGGCCAGACATGGGTCTCTGTGCCAGTTGTTGGATCACCTGCGGTTATCAGAGTTTTTGTTGCCCCAATTAGGGCTCTTGCGCCTATTCCAGGTCAAATGCCCCGGCCAGGAGCCGCCAAAGGGCCTTCCGCGCCAGGGAGAGCACCAATGTAGGACGTACATCTGTGGGGGCCTCCGGACGAACCCATCAGGCGAACCTGCTGGTAGACACCCCGGGCAGAGACGGAATTATCTGTAAGCCATTGCCCGGAAGGGTTGTGTGCACCTCACTTTTCACTCATGTTTACACATTTTACACATTACATTACACATTTCCAATTAGTGTTTGTACAGGTTGCTGGCCTCACTTAGACTTACGGTCAACCTTTACGGGATCCACAATACCTCTGTAGGGTGTGGACTCCCTCCCGCTGGAGGGACAGAGTCCTCTTTATGTTTAGTCCTCCCTCTTGCATTAGAAACTGCGCTGCTGTCCGGTATGAAAAGCCCGAATTAGAACCCACCCCGCTTAGAATTGGAGCAAGCTGGCATCATCACGCCACACGGACAGACCATGAAGACAACGACTTACCATCGGTCACCGTCGAGATTCGAACCCGGGCTCACCGCGTGCGAAACCAGCATGCTAACCATCCATCCGCTTGAGTTGTGGGCCCGGCGGCCGAAAGTTTGTGATCAGAATAGGGCTTGTTCAGAGTGAGTTAATAGATTTCGTGATCGTTTGATGCCTATCACGCATAGAGCCGAGTTTTCGCACGGGATTCTGCATATTTGCACTTGCTTCCCTCTAAGACTGGCAATCTGCGTATGCTCGACACGCACAACCATCTGAAAGATTTTTGGAGGATGTATAAGCCCGGTGCGAAGCCACCCTTAATTTTCGAGGGTGTATAATGCCGGTGCGTAACCACCCCCTGTTTTGGAGGGTGTATAAGCCCGGTGCGTAACCGCCCTCCATTTTGGGGGGGGGGGGGTGTATACGCGCAGCCTAAAACGTTTTGCGAGCCCAGTGGTCGGAAAGTGTGACGTCACACCCTTCGCGTCACGAGTACATCATGGCCGCCCGACCAATCATAGAACAGGATTTCTACTATTGGTAGCACGATAGTCACGATGAAACGCGGCCGACGTCTGTTGTGATATCCATGAAATTCTAAATGGTGATAATCTTGGGATTGATCTTACCTTAAACCATAGCACTTATTGCCGCGTTTCTTGACTAGGTTAATAGTAGTAGTGCCTCAGTTAGGCATATTACTAAGCTATTGTTAAGAAAGGAATTTACAGTAGGTTATGGCAGTGAATGAGCGCAGCCCTGGCGCCCATCTTTAAACTTAGTGGCAAAGGCGGCAAAATATTGCGTTTGAAGGAGGGGATGCTGAACGTTTCGGGGCAGTTATTGGGAGTTGCGGTTTGCTGAGGAAGGCGTCATTGTAGAGCAGGTGAGTAACGTAAAGTGTCGTCAACCATTCAAGCAATCAAAATGTGTGCGGTAGCGCCTGTTTATTTCAACGGTATAGGGAGGCAGTGACGCCTTGGTTTAATCAGGCGTTTTGCGTTGGCCTTTTTGTGTGGACTGGGGGTGGTACGAACGCAGCCTGCTCATTCTTCAGCTTCGTTTCGTTTATGGGCTATATTAAGAGAACCCAAGTCTCCTTAAATTTGATATTGAGAGCAATAAGAGTAGCATAAGCAAGAGGAAGGAAGGAACAATCATAAGGTTGTCAGACACCACTCTGGCTTCTTGTAAATGTGGATGCAGCCAAGCAAGTGACAAAATGAGCCAACCTTTCCCTTTGGGAGCAAGCTTGTGACCCAGACTTTAAAAAAGCATGTAGAGGCAAAATTTGTTCCAGGTCCAGCTCACCAGCACCATGAAAACACTTGGTTTTTAGATGTGTTTTGTACCTGGGGCTGTGATTACTACACAATAAAGCAACAGTGATAGGAAAAATGCACAGCTCTGCTATGTCACCTTCAAAGTAGCATGTTTATCACCTGATGCTAGTCCTCATTACTGGCAGGTTAATGAGCAGGAAGAAGTTTTGTGATGATTTGCCTAAGCTAATTGCCAATTAACCAGCTTACATCAGGTTTGTTTTGTGTTTTGTATATGTACTCACTAATGCTATTGTTATCATCAAAGTCGTAGTCTTTCCCCATGTAGCCCTAAGATTGAAGGCTCAATAATGTTGAAACTTTCTAGAAAATCACCACTAAGCTCATTGCATGGTTGGCAGCAAACAGGTCAAACAGTTTCTGCTGCTGTACTGAAAAAGTTATGTTTAAGTGGGGTGTAGGTTGATGGAGGCATGAGTTGAAAGTTTTTAGGTTGAATTGGCAACCTTTAATAAACTGGAAGGAACTAGTTAAACAGTGCAATGCTAAATCATGGTTGCATTGGCTATACTGATTTATTATTGGAAGCTCGGATGATTTACTGTGGCATCTTCTAGCGGCATTATCTGCAGATTGCTAGAGTTTACTGGATTTGCATGTCTTTTGTGATGGATTTGTGTGGTTGTGTACTTAGCAGAAAGGACATGTGAAAACAAACATGACTGGCTGCTAGGAACACTATCATATCATCTATCATGTTGCCTTGGCACTGGCACCTCAGCAACTGCCAGCTTCCATTATTTTGGACTCCAGCCCTGTGCATCTTTGACTGTCTGAGACATTTTGATTCTGGTGAGCACCTGCTAATTTTTATGAATTCTTTTGCAGGCTTATGCCATTGGCCTGTGTCATTCATCCTGAGTGTGATATGTGTGATTTTGTAATCTTTTCTGTATTTATGCAGGTGGACATAAGGTCCTAGAAATAGGTGTGTTGGATGGATGCTGGCCTCTAGACATGTCATACATTATCAAAACTAGAAATAAGCTTTCTCATAGCTGTTGGCCTAGTATGATGAAGGAGATGATTGTATCAGGTTGTGTTGTAGCATGCCTATACTTGTGATTGGTCACAGGTCCTGACATGGAATTAAACAAACCTAGCCAGTTTGTAGTGATGCATTGATATTTGGTGCTTTAAGGGTAGTTTCTTGTAGTTCTCAATGTTTGTGCACCGTGTTATCAGTTGTGCTCGACATGACTCGAGGAAATATTGTTTTGTAACCTCATAGACATTCTTCCTGAATTTGTCCCATTGAATAATGTATGAAACATAAGCCACGAAACAATATTGATGCATATTTGGAAACCCAGGCTGCTGGAGGCATCTTGGTACTTATTTAGCTTGCTGGGATTGTACACCTGGACAGTTGCTCGCCCAAAGCCTGCTGTGATGCATGCTAGCTGTACCCGTGAACAAATATTTATATACCCACCAGAAAAGGTATATCTATGTATGTTTGTCTGCCTGCTTGTCCAAGCGCTTTAACATGCTGAGTTCAAACGGCTGGGCTGTCTATCTCCAGTTCACCTCCGTGTGCTCAAGGCATGGCGGACAGACCATGGTGCCAGCGTCATAGCGACTGGCGCTGGATGGTGTCGGTGGGTCGATGTGTGCGGTAGGCGCTTGCGCCTGTCCCCCCCCCCCCCCCTTCGTTCCAATGGGCTGTGAGTAACGCCTGAGCTGCTGGCTAGTTGTGTTCTGGTGTCAAGGGGTAGCTGAGTGTCAGCGCACCTTCCTCGTAGTCAGGTAGATTTTGTTAGGTGCAGGATAGCATTACGCCCACGCCGCGCGTGCAAGTGATTCGTGCCCTTTTCATCGAAGGTGTGGTATCCCGCGCCTGCAGTAGCGCGCTTGGTGCCATGGAGGATTTGCATCTCATCGATATGCGTGTATTTTGCTGATGCAGTCAGTTTCGATGTCACAAACTCAATGCAAAACACAAATTGTAACGCATCTCCCCCCTCCCCCGCTTCCCTCATCTTTAGTCGGCTGTGCTGATAGCCGAAGAAGCTCGAATTGCCGTACTTGCCATGCTGTTCGGTATCCACAACGATTGTATAAGGGGGATATATTGCTTTTCTACTACCCGTACGCATTGTTTTGTCCCCAGTCATTCCAAATCGAAGGAACTGAAGGCGAGTTTTCAACATGCATGACGAACTGAGATTTTAGCCAGTGCGGTTGTACGGAAAAATTCCGATTCGGTCGTTTGTGAAACTTTCTGTCCAAGCATTTCCACATGTCAGGCTTTGATGGCTGGGGTGATCGCGCCCCAAAGCTTCGTCGAGTACTGCGGCTCGACAAACGGAGATTGTGGCATCTTCGGATGAATCGGCGACGGGTTTTTGGCACTGTCGGCAGTTTCCCGCATATCATCAAAATGGGGCTGTCACAGGTCTCGCTCAAAATAGCGACCGCACAGACCCGGCTACCAATGGGAGTATGGCCGCGGGCGTCATCCGCCATCCCTTCGGGGTGTGAGCCGCAGGCGACAGCGATGTCCCATCACCCACGTGTGTCGTTTTGGGCAGGGACACCTCCGGGCTGTCGATGCGTCAAGCTACGATCGCCTAAACGGCACGCGGGTGGGTTACCATTGAATGCATGCAGCGACATCAAAGTTCGATGCTTTGACAATTCGATGAGGTGCTCGCGCGCCATTTACATTTTACAACCTTGATCTTATTAGGTCATCGTCGCCCGAAGTCCTAGCCTGCGTTTTGTTGCTAGCTATACAGGTAGCTATTCGGTTGATACAGTGAAGTTTGACGTGGCACAGTGTACCATAGCTTTTATGCCACACGTGCGAGTGAGCGGCGCCCTCTCGCCGTTACTGATGCACGGATGGGGAACCTTACATGATAGTGGGCAGACTGGGCTCTGGGAGGACTCGAGTCTCAGCCATACTGGTGTGCTTCCTCCACTGGGTCACGGTGGGTCAATAGGTGCACGCGCAAACATTTTCTCCATGCACATTCGGCAGGCCGTATCAATAGAGGAATGGGCTGAAACCGGGTCCTGTCAATGCCATTGACATCGGCGGCTCGTCTCATTGTGCTTGGTAGGGCGGGGGGGGGGGGGAGGATTAGGAATTGTGCGCACATATTCCCCCCCCCCCCTTCTCCCTCTCACACTGAGGTGGCTGTATCGTTAATTGGTTATTGTAAACCGCGGAGTGCTTCCTCATAGTTTGCTGTGTTTTGACTAGAACATACGCTAAGGATGTAATATGAATGCAGTGCACGTTTGCGAAATGCACGTACTTTCGGTCGGGCGTCGGCGTGCACTCGCCAGTGTTACCCTGGCAATGGCGAGGTCGAGGTCACTCCACGGACAACTGGTGACGTGCGCAGATCGGACGGCGTAGGTAGACCGCGCCATGGTTTGCTCAAACAGAAGTCCGCATTCGGCGAAGGTGCCTGCGGTTCATCACCTCTCTCGTAAAACGTAACCGTACATCCCCTAAACAAGACAACGCTTTTATCGGATGCAAGGTCTTAATGTTTACTGTGGGCTGGAGCCGCCTACACGTGGTGATGAGCCGATGTTGTTCTGTTCAGAGCCGCCCTGCAACACCATGGCCAGCAGCCTGTCGTTCCCCACGCTCTCCGATGAGGACCTGATCCGGCTCTGCACGGATGTGGTCGGCCACGATATCCCGGTCACGCCGGCTGCGCTCAAGAAGCCGACCATGGGTGAGTGTGAGTGCGAGCGGCGCCGCTGCCGCCGCCTGAGGCCCTGTGCTCGACGCGGGGGCCGCTCATGCGCAGAACACAATGTGACCGCCACCTGGCAGTGGTGGACTGCGCTTTGTCCGCCTGAGGCCCTGGGCCCGACGCGGGGGCCGCTCATGCGCAGAACACAATGTGACCGCCACCTGGCAGTGGTGGACTGCGCTTTGTCCGCGGCGTCACCAGCTGGTACTGGCGATGCGGGATGAGGAAGATGCGTGGGATTTGATGGCGGCTCATGCTACAGGCCGTCTCGGTGGTCGAAAACCAGAATCGCGAAAAGAAGCGAAATACTTTCCCATAAATTGTCGTCCTGGTGCTGAACTCTGCCGTGTTGTGTGCAGATGCTGTGTTATGCTGCATTGGGTTCCGAGTCACATCGTTTAAGTTGTCCGATCTGTTCTTAAATTGGACGTATGTGCCACGTAAGATGTACCTACCCACACACATACAATGTATATATATATATATATATATATATATATATATATACATGACCTGTTCTCCGCTATATTATTCTCATTCGCACGTCAAAGGGACCAGTGCACTGCAATGTCTCCAGTTTGCATGTGCCGCACAGACGTGCAACACATATTGGTATCCTGCAGCCGGGCAGAGAATGAGGTAGGCAAGGTTGAAGCGCGGACGGGTGACGCGCTGGAAGGCTTTTCTTGCGGCGCTGCATGGTGACCTTAAGTGTTCATAACCGGGCCCGAGCACTTGCGTTGAACTGGCCGCACTGGACGGCGGGACCAGATCGCTGACATTTGTTTATTTCAGAATCGACCATGAGCATTTTCAAGTTCTTCGTCAACGAAGTTTTTGGCTGGGATGTAGATCGGGCTCTGGTGGTAAGTTGGTCGCGGGCTGTTGATTGTTATACTCGTGTCGTTTTCAGAGGATGTCGCGCCGTGCTCGTGTGATTAGATTCAGCTTCGTACACAATTTACATAAGTTCCGTTTGCTGTTCCGCCGGTCGTAGGCATGCACTGCGCCCTGCCTTCCTTATCTGGTGGAAGGGAAACCACTTCCGTTGCCGCCGTTCCTTCTGCTAAGTGTGTGTGGCAGACCGCTTCACAAGCTCAATATCAAAATAGCTCAAATTGCATTGTGTCTTTGCCAATTATTTGGTGCACTGGTATCCTTGTGGATGTGTATTTACAGCATTTATGGCCCATCGGCGCTCAGACGTCTACTTCGAGGAGTGGCTTTGTGGGCGGTCGTTCCGTGACGTTCAGCATGCATATGACGTGGGGCAGTGGGGCTTGAATCCTCGGGCTTGCGTTCGTCGCGCCGAAATCGAATGACAAACGTGCCACTGCCACGGCGGTATTGTCGCTGAGGGGCGGTCGGTGTGGGCTGTAGCCTCGTACTGGCCGGCAGGTGCCGTTTGACCAGATGTCGCGAATACAGTACCCGGACATGCACCAAGAGCAGACGCCGCTGCTGCGCTTCTACGGCGTCGTGCACACCCTGCTGGCGCGCGTGCATTACGACAGCTTCGGCATCGACGACATCACTCAGCCGCGTGAGTGGCGGTCGGCCCAGGCGCGTGTGGTGCTGTTACGGCAGTGAGCGGAGCAGTTCATGGCGTTGCTATACATGGATAGCTCATGGTCTCTTCCTGCTGCCAGCCACCAGCTTGCCATACCATGTTTTGTTACAGGCAGGATTTCAGGCCCTTCCAGTGTCCCATCGGCAGCGTGCCAGCTATGTTAGCCGCCCCAGAAAGGCAGTTGGTGGCGGGTTGTTGGCGGCGGGTTGTTGGTGGCGGGCGGGCAGTTGGTACGGTGCAACTAACGCCACTCGTTCTGTGTAGAGAATACCCCTCGACTCCCATGTTGTGAGGTATTGACCCGTTCGCCGATGGGCCTCAGAAACCCACATGAACTGATGTGGTCGGGGACACCAGACCCGCGTCTCCGCCGTTTGTCGCCTTTATCGAGTGCAATTATGCATACGGAATCCTCGATACATGACTGAATCGACAATGCACTGCGGGTTTGTGTGACCAAGTGAGGTCAATGGTAATGCCATCACAGGTCATGGGGAGTTGCAGTCCTGTGTCCGAGGCACTTCTGCACATATTTGCAAGAAGTTGTTTATGTTGAACATGTCACATGGCCAGGGCAGTCGGCGCGCCTTAAAGCCCAAATCATCACCATTGCAGTCAACTGACAGTGCATGGAAGTATGTGTGGCGTGGTGAGATCAGTGCTGAAATTGGCAAACGTCAACAACACATACAAAAATTACGTTTTAGCCGCTTGACGGCACACATGGTTTGACGGAACGTTCACAGCGTGACCGGTTACGACACGGGGACAGTAGCGCAGTGGCTCCACCGCATGTCGGGGAAACCAGAGCCCGGCTCCTCATTGTCCTACGGCCCAAGCTTCGCCCAATGAGGTGGCGTCACAGATTCACGCCAATGAATAACGCCTGTAATTCTAAATGTTGGCACAAGTAGAATCAGCTGGTGCAGCCCCATGGAGTCGTATAGCGCGCAGGAATGGCGCACGTGAATATCATTGGAATGAACAGTTGCTGGCAAGTTTCGTAGCTAAGCATATAATTGCCGTGTCGATCACACTATCCAGATGTGATCGAGACGTACTTTTTGCCGGACATATAAAGCCGTCAACAGCGCATGGTCTGTTGCAAGGCGTTGCTATGCCAACAGCAACGACTTGTAAACAAACGCACATCGCCTCCCGGCTGAGTAGGGCCTGGGGTTGAGCCTTGACGTCATACGTGAGGAATGTGCTTACCCTGAAATAGGGAATGGGCCCCCATTTGTCAACGAAGAACGGTATTCAGAGATTTGTGGTTCGATTCCCCGCTGTGCCTGCCCCTCCTGTTATGGTGAGGGCAGGCGACTCTGTGAAACCTCAGCTGCTGAACGCGCCGTAAGGTCCCAACAACAATGACAGCAAGTGACTCAAAAGGACGCTGAGAAAACATCTATGAACTCTTAAGGCACAATGCCATCAGTAGACACCGACGCCTTGTGCCCACGAGCGCTCAGGGGGGGGGGGGGGGGGGGGCGTCTCCGTGCTGTGTTTCGGTGCACACATCTACTTCGTCATGTACCAACAGGAAAAATGTTTTCACTTTGAAAAAAACATGTTGCTAGTGGCCGGTGCGGACGCAAAAAACAATGTCATAGCTGGTATATCGCGTCAGAAAAGAGCAAACACCTAAGAGAAAACGCAACAAGCCGGGTAATTTTGAGCGCTTATTTCCCTATATTAGGAACATACTAAGCTGCCTTCCTCAAATGGAAAAATGTGCAGCTGCTGTCAAATGGGTTCTGCCGAGATGGAAATGTCATCGGATTTATCAAAAGACAGGCTTAAATGACCGTTGGGTTGAATGTCAGTGCCTACAAAATATACGCTCAACGACCAGACCAGAGACCAATCAACGAACTGCAGAGCCAACTCCAACTCCGCCATTCGTGGTGTTGTGATGCGGCACCAACTCAGGGTGTGTGCTTCTGGCATCGACTAGTGATATCTAATGCTGGTATTTTCCCGGTCTTGGTGCAGTGCGGAACCATCCGCGTGCTGCTTCCGTAACAGATCCTGGTGCTGCCCGGCATGTGGATCTGAGCAGCATTGGTGTCCTCTGTGGGCAGGCACTTGCAGCTGTGATTCGGTGCTTCGACCACAGTGAGTTCGAACCCATCACAGAGACCTTGGCGGGCGGGATGCTGGTGAGGTGTGTGTATTCATGTTCACGTTTCGACTAGTCCGCTTGAGCTGCACGCCCAGGTACCTCACCAGCTCTGGGGTGGTGCCCGTCATGACGCCCGGGTGGTGCCCGTCATGACGCCCGGGTGGTGCCCGTCATGACGCCCGGGTGGTGCCCGTCATGACGCCCGGGTGGTGCCCGTCATGACGCCCGGGCGGTGCCCGTCATGACGCCCGGGTGGTGCCCGTCATGACGCGGCGTCCAGGGGCGGTAAGCCGGCTGTAGTACAGCCGGAGCGTCCAAACACGTCAGGTGCTCGCGCTAGACACACTCCGGAGTATTATACCGCTCTTCCCGGCGTCCAGGGGCGGTAAGCCGGCTGTATTACAGCGAGTGTCCAAACACGTCAGGTGCTCGCGCTAGACACACCCCGGAGTATTATACCGCTCTTCTCTCGCTGTGACGGCTTGTGCTATTTGAACGGGCATCTGCCGCGTCTTCAGCTTCGGAGTTAAGCCGTTTTGAACAACTGGCTCTGGGCTCGGGTTCAGCTTCCAATAATTTTTGAACGATGGCTCCGACGTCGGCTTCGTGTGGTCTTGAACAAAACTTTGGTTTTGTCATGCTTTTTACCATAATTTTACTGCACTTCAGCTTTTACTACAGTTTTACTACAGTCCTATAACTTGTCTAGTCTGCGACGCATACCTGACCAAAAGCCTAAAAGCAGACTGTCACTCCCAGGGCTAATTAACACCTAATGACAGCCAGATAATTGTCCGAAACGTATGTGTACTGACACACAAGACAAGGACAGTAGTCCGAAAAATTGCCGATGTGCAATACCGGCAACTCATCTCAGTCACCTCTGGAAGTCCCAGCTATGTTTTCTGATCCCGTGCCGTCGGACTAGACGCGAAAATGGTTTTGGTTTTGCAATACGACATTGTTTACCAGATACGGCGTCAGCTTCGCTTTCATAATTTGAAACTGAAAGATTCGGCTTCCGCTTCGTGGTTCCTCAGCTCGGAACCGCTGATTTTGGTTTGGCCTTCGCTTGTAATAAGTTGCGAGCCATTGGCTTCGGATTTGGCTTTTAGTTAACAAAAAACAAGCTACTTGCTTTAGTTTTGACTTCTTCTTGGTGCCTCTGTCCTGCCTTTAGATGTATCTTCAAAGCCAGAAGCCCGGCTTCGTCTCCACGGTTGCTGATCAGATAGGAATGCGTGCAGCAGTCCGTGCATAATATGGTACCATCCCCATATAGTCTGTATCGATGGAAACGTTCCGATTCTAGGGCCATGTCTCTGCTGTTGCAATGATAAACGGGGGAAGTAGGGACCAGGGATTAACGTCGGGAACCATGCACGTGCCTTTCAAGCGCCGGGGCTAACGACAAAACGGTGTTGGCGGAGAGCGCCGCCTCTGTGCGCCACCTCCTGCCGTGGGCGCCAGTGTACGGGCGTCCCAGAAAATGGCCGGAGAGAAAGCTGTCATGGACGTAGATGTAGGCTAACAGGGTACCCGTAGCAGATTGGCCACCTGATAGTCTCCTGGGTGCGCGTGTGTTCAGTCGTGAAGGCTGGAAGTCTGGCTTCTTGCTAGGAGCGTCTGCCTGGTGAGCGCAGACGGGCCCAAAGTAGAGGACACGGAGATGCGAGGTGGTGAAACCGATGGAAACCAGTGGTGAAACCGACGGAATCTGGTGGTGAAACCGATGGAATCCGTGGGCGCATCCAGGGCAGACGTTAACGCCCCTTTTATGCCAGGCATTCAATCATTAAGACTCTCCTGTCTTGAATTATATTTGGCCACCTTTTCGTTTGTTATCTAGTGCGACATTTATCGATGTCAAATATGTGTACGTTGGATTGTGTTCTCATCTGACCTCTATCGCTGTCGACTTTCCGACTCGAGTTTTATCCCTGACAGCTTGTTCACCTTCGAAATGTTGTGAACCTCTTACCACTGCCGACATTACTCCTTTTCCAATTTTTCGATTCGAATTTTATGCCTGCCGCCGTTCATCTCTGGCGGATTTTCTCCTTCTTTAGTTTCTGTTTTTTAGTTGTTTCCGATTCTACTTGTATCCCGATCTATTTTTATCCCATTCGACTCCTTTTGTCCGGCTTGGTATCCGGCTTCGTGCCAGGCTGATGGGTACGTGTAGTGGTGGTGCTTCGGGAGGTTTTCTGCTTTTCTGTCCCGTGCGCCACGCCGGAACTTGGCCGGTCTGAAGTCTCCTGCGGCGGCACTTGCCGTCCTGTCCCGCTGAGTACCTTCAGCATTTGAGAGGTCACGCCCTCCAACCATGGGGCCTTCCCTTCCATGGGTGACAGCGCTCGGCCATCTTTGTCTAATTGTTCGGCCGGCCGAGCTTTTGCGACAGTCGCGGTGCGGAGTGCATGACTCAGTCAAGGCCTTGCACGCCCCCAAGCGTCCGGGTTTGGCTTGTTCCTCCTGCGCGGGTTTGTCCAATGAATAGAAGTTCCTGTTACTTTCGCGTGGTGCTGAGCCAAGGCTGCTGCTTTCTGTTTGATGCTCGGATACGGTTGCGTTTAAGTTGATATTTGCCGTTGAGGTGTGGGTCCATTCTTGCGTCCATCCGTTGGTTTTGTCGCTGTTTAGAGGTGCGTGGTGTATGTGTCAGCATCCATATTTTCTCACTCTTGTATCTAAGCATTTTATTCTGGTTTTCACAGCAATCGCCCTGCTGAGATTTGTTTTTCTGCATAAGTTTTCCGATTCTGTCGGCGCGTTAAAATTTGTATGTGTTTGTCTTATCTGTGAACATAAAAACTTCTTATCTTTCCTCCTCTTATCTACTTGTCCTTATCTTAGTCCCCCGTATATTGTGCTGTGGCGTTGCGTAAAGCCACACGTCTATGGTGGACATGTTTAGAAACATGATAACTAACAAACAAGTATGAGACACGGCATCAGTAGCCTGCAGGACAAGCTCCGAAGAGATTTGTCCTATGCCCTCCTCGACTCGAGCGCCACCAAAGCGCTACCATGGACGTGTCTTATGTGATGCCGCCAGGGTTTGCGGTGTGGAGTGGTGCAGTGTCATGTACAGGCCTTCCGTAATGCGTTGACCGCCAGGGCCGAAGCGGCTGCGGCGTCAGCTGTCGGCTCTGGTCAACTTCGCGCTGCACCACCAGAATATTATGGACACGTATGGCGAGCAGGTCCGTGACGCGCACCGCTCCGTCCGACACCAGTATGAGAGGTGAGTATGGCGGCAGGCGCGCGACGAGGGCCGTCTGTGTACCTGCCGGTACCACCCTTCTGTGTACCTGCCAGTGCCACCCTTCTGTGTACTTGCCGGTGCCACCCTTCTGTGTGCGTCCAGCGGTACCCTTCTGTGTATCTGCTACTGCCACTCTTCTGTGTACCTGCCAGTGATACCTTTATGTGTACCTGCCGGTGCCACCCTTCTGTGAACCAGTCAGTGCCACTTTTCTGTGTACCTGCCAGTGCCACCCTTCTGTGTATCTACCAGTGCCACCCTTCTGTGTACCCGCCAGTGATACTTTTGTGTGTACCTGCCAGTGCCACCCTTCTGTGTACCTACCAGTGCCACCCTTCTGTGTGCCTGCCAATGCCACCCTTCTGTGTACCTACCAGTGCCACCCTTCTTTGTACCTACCAGTGCCACCGTTCTGTATATCTGCTAGTGCCATCCTGTGAACCCGTCAGTGTCACCCTTCTGCTGCCTTGGTGCCCGGCTACCCTTTGCATCCACGGAGTGGTGTGCTCTGTAAAATCATGGCTCTGGTTTCTTTCGTATATTAGCGGCGCTCAAAATAGCTGAGCGGTCAGGCATGTTCATGCCTAAAACATCAAAAATTTCTTTAGAAAGGCAACGCTTAACTTGTATGTTCCTCCGTTTATGTCTAGGAGTCGCGCTTTTTAATTATTTGGATCCATCCTAAGTGGTGGTGGCGTTGCGGTGTCCAACGATGCCGTGCAGTAGCGGCCGGTGTCCAACGATGCCGTGCAGTAGCGGTCTGTGTCCAGTGATGCCGTGCAGTAGCGGTTGGTGTCCAGTGATGCCGTGCAGCAGCGGTTGGTGTCCAGTGATGCCGTGTAGTGACGGTCGGTGTCTGGGAAAGTATTGCTAATGATGGTCGATTGTTGTCAGCACGACAACTCCCAAGTCCAGATGCCGTAAAACCGTGAGCTTAAGACCTTTGTGCTTATGAGATATTCTGGACGAAATTCTGACGCAATTGCAGCCAAGCACAAAGCTGCGGGTTCTAGCATGTTCTAAATCGTGAGGATTCATGTGACCGATGGCGACCAGTTCGTCTGTATACTAACTCGTTGACACTTCCCGCGCAGGCTGCAAAAGGAAAACAGGGACCTGAAGAGTAACATACACAAGGAAATTGAGCGAGAGGAGGAGATGAAAATGCTCGTAGAAAAGGTACGTTTTGCTTGCATTTGGTTTCTTTTCATCAAAACACTTGGCCATTTAGGCACTGCGCCGTTGATCTTCGTAACTGTTTGACAGGTTGTAGCAGCAAATAATTTCGTTTTTGGTGAATTATTATTGACCTTTTTCCGGCAGAAATCGTCATCTTAGTCACGAGTAGGCGGTATCCGATGTCGTTCCCTTTTACAGCTCTTGCGCTGATCCCGTGCGTTCTTAATCATCCTTTCAATGATTAACAACATCATGTACTAATGAGTGCATATTTACATAGGGTAGATCAGGAGAAAATCCACTTTAATACCGCTGTGACGCCCTCACCCATCAGCTTGCCACAGAAGTCGTTTCGTGAAAGTTCTTTCCGACTGCCAAGCTGACTGCCTCGGTGGCACGCCGTGTGCCTGCCGTCGCTCTGCGGCTGCAGGCGCCGCATCGTCCGGCGATGTGACCCAGCCGTCACTTGTGGGTGACGCCGCTGGCGCTGGCTCACAGGAGCAGCAGCTGGTGGAGGAGCGCGAGCAGGAGATGTGCGCGCTCCAGCAGCGCAAGGAGGAGCTGGCGCGGGAGGCGCGCCAGGCCATGGCCGATGCCGGCCGCGTCCAGGACCAGATCCAGGCGGTCGCTGTTCAGCAGGCCAAGGTGAGCGCCGCCTCTCCGCCGCCAGGCCGGGCAGCAGCGCACGCTCCCAGCCCGGTCGTCACGCGCGCGGGGAGTCGGGTACTGACGTCCGCCGGACCGTTCAGGGGGCAGCCGGTTCGCCGGGGCTGGCTGGTGAACAAGGTGCTTCACGGTTATTACTGTCAGTAGCGTTTAGTATGGGGGCGGGCTCCTCTATCTCACGTCATCGCTTCGCTCACGCCGTGCGGACGGCGCGGCTCGCTCTTCCCCTCACTTAAAGAGAGTTCCGCATTTGTATGGGGTTTGAACTGAAAAAGCCATCTTAAAGATCATTCAGTGCAGCCCGCAGCCCTGCCCTCAAGACACATCCTCTAGTTCCTGGGCTACATGACTACGAAGATGTAGATTATACCAAGGTCGCCCATGCATTCATGACGCCGTATTAAAGTCGTTCAAATTCTGCCGTTGCGTTGGCCGTGCGGCGATCAAGGCCAAGGCAAATGAAATTGTCGAGGTGTTCATATCTGAGGTTCGTGAGAGCACGATTTCTAGATGTACTGACCGTCAATTGGCGTTCAGGTGATGTCGTGCAAGGCACGATAACGCAGTCAGGCAACAACGTACTCGGTCGCATATTTGCTATATGGAGAAATTGTGCTGTCTAGCGCAATTTTTATGTAAATGCACACCAACAGTCATAAATGAGCTCATATCATGATATCTGATGCTTGCTTCAATACCTTCCAATGAGGTACACCTCCTTCAACCAAACACGTGTTCCGTTGTCAGCTGATGGAGGAGAAGCAGAGCCTGGAGGCGCAGGTGGTAACCTCGCCGGAGAAGGTGCGACAGACGCTGGTCCGCGCCAGGGAGGAGCTCCAGTGAGTTGGCTGGCCCCACCCCGGCATGTTCTGTTTGAGCCATTGGCAACAAGTATGGATTAGTGGATTGGGTTATGTGATTGGATTGGTGTGGTTGGCGGCCTGAATCATGACTAGGCGCATACTGACATAGACCAATGGTCCACAATGGCCGCCCCCGAATGATGTCTCCGGGTGAGGAGAACAAAACGCAGCGCAAGGCATCGAAACTCGTGTTGAGGACCAGGTCTGATGAATCGACGACTGTGTCATCGACGTTCCTTGTGATACTGCTTAACGGTGCATTCTTGCTGTAAGAATAGGACGCGGACCTCTGTGTCCTGAGTCCAAGGCCGTGAGCCTCCTGACCGCCCTAGCGATTGACGGTCCGACGCCTGGCCGTGCGCTGAGCCGGCCGTCCTCGCGTGTGCAGAGCGCTGGAGGAGCAGCGGGAGGCCTTGTCCACCCGGCAACAGGAGCTCCAGCGGATGCGCCAACACGTGGACCAGCTGTCCGAGGGGACGACAAAGTTCGGACAGAAGAACGCCATTTTGCGCGACCTGGCCGACCGCCAGTGGTGAGTCGATTGTTCTGCGCACACATGCGGTGAACGTCGCTACGCGCCGCGCTCTGAGCAAACGGGGACGGCAGCGGGAGGCGAGCGCCGCGAGGGAGACGTGGGGGCGGAAGAGGTCAATATGCGGCCAGTGGTATTCGCAGGCGCAAGCTCGACAACTTTGTCTGGGGTCGCAGGAATGAGAAATGCCCGAAGCTTGCGAAAGAGCTGAGGGGGCGCCGCTGTTGCGTCCGCGTGGTGGCGCTGATGGTAGAGTCTCCTGGCCCGTGGACCCTGGAAACTGCACACTCATCCAGTAATTCTGCTCGTAGTCACACGCACGCTTTTGAGAAGCCAGCCTTGCAGCCTGGAGTCACACCTATCACGAAGCACTGCCAGCGGTGCCGTTTGGACAATCGGGACCCGATAAATCCCAGAAATGCGGGCCACTCGGCCCAGCTGTACGGCATCCCAGCCTTCCCGCCAGCCATCCACGCGAGCCATCCCGCAGCTACAGAAGGAGCGGGTGGGAGGGCGGGTCTGACGGCGACGCTAACATTGTCTGGTGGTCGAGTGGGTCGTGTTTAGCCCGTGTCATACGTCCAGCTCTTTGACGTTTTGTTTTGTTTGTTTGTTTTTGTTAATCGGCATCCCAAGCTCCACTGGCACGCCAAGCTTCATTGACGTCCAAGTAGCCCGTATACATCTGTCGGACTCGTTGAACCGAAATACGTCAGATTCTGTGTTCTATTCTGTTTTTTTTTGTGGAATCACCACAACAAAAATGACCCTCGTCAATTGATTTTAGACGGTTGGCCTCGGCTTTAGCTTTGTGTCATTTGCGCTGTTGGCTTTGACCTCAGTTTCATGCTGTCTTGAGCTGCTGAGTTCAGCTTTTTTTGTGTGTTTTTTGTTGTTGTTCAATGCAATCGCAACTCCCCGGCACAAAAATAGTTATGCCTGTCCGGTCACCCCAATCTACCACACAGCTTTTCAAATCCGTGGAGGACACATTCGGGGGAGGTTGGGTTGTTGAAGCCTCGACTCTGCCTGTCCAATAGTAAACAGATCGACGTCCCTGTGCCATCTCGCCAATGCTCCTGTGTGGGTGCCCGTCAAGTTAACACCGTATTGGATTGGAATTCAGCGTCGAGCTCCGATGTCCGTCAGCTTTTTCACACGGTTACCTGAGCCCGGGGCGGCCGTGCCGCACAATGCTTCGGCACGTAAAATACTTCGTCGTCCTGTCTGGCAAAAGGGCGGACGGATAGTTACCTGTTGAACTGGACGGCACGAATTGGGTAATAGCCTCAGAGTATACGCAGTAAGCTATGCTCAGCAGGTGCTTTGAACCCAAGACGACCAGTGTAAAGCCAGTCGGAGTAAATTTGTTTTTCACAAATGGTTCAATCTTATCCAGCTACTCACGAATACGCAGTTTTTTCACTACCTAACTTCTTTCAACATGTACTGGTCAGCAAAACCTCGAAACTGGGGTACCCTGCCATTCCTTTCTTTGCCAACAAAATCAAATACAATTGATGAGATATTCATGCTCATGATGTTTACCTGCGTCACACAAGGAAATAAACTCAAGGTCAAGGCCGCACAAAACCGGTGTCCTGGCACTTCTTCGTTTACCAACGAAACCGAACAAAACAGGTGCCCCATTGGTGGCCGGGATTTCCGCTTTCGTCACCTGCTGATAAATGTGCGCGAGTCAAAGTCAAAGCCACGTAAAACGTGGTTTTCTTGCGTGTTTCCGTTTCTCAAAATGTTATGACACAAATGGCGCAGAATTAAACCTGTGACATTCAGTAATTTTTGTGTATTTGTTTTCTTATGCTGTGAGCGGACATCACGAGCATCAATATGTACCCGTTTCAATGTTACAATTATTTTCAAAAACAAAATTACAAGGTGTGGCCCATTTTGGGTGATCTTAGCGTTTGGCCTCGAGAGCTGATTTTCTTGCGTGACGAAAGTAAACATCACGGCGTCAATATGACACCTGTTTTGTTCGCTTTCCTTGACACGCCAGGCGAACGGATGACACGGTGCACCATTTTGTGTGGCCGTGGCCGTTGACTTTAAATGCGGATTGTTTTGTGACGAAAACGGACATTCCGGGTGGGCAAGCGGACAGGCCAAAGCGGGCCTAAACAAACACCATGCGTGTCGTTGGGGTCTTATGACACTCAGCAGCTGGAGATATATGGCGCCTCTCATCCTGGCAGGAAAAGCCTTGCGGAAGCGACCCTGGCACTTCCAGCTTCTTAAACGAACACCTTAATCACTGCACTACCGGCATTCGACCCTTGACCTTTTGGTTTGATATTTTTAACACAACAACGAGGGACATCACAAGCATCAATATGACAAGTTTTGTAGAACCTGGTTAGTTAAACGAATTAGTACCAAGTCGCCTTGTTTTGGCGTGACCTTGACTCCCGGGCTTGAGGGCTAATTTTGTTCCAAATGTGAGGAAAGTGGACGTCACGAGTATTAATATGATACCCATATTGTTACACCGTTTCGTAAACGCCCCTCAGGTGGGGGGTGCGGGGGGTCTGCTTGCTTTCAAGCTTCGACACCCTAGGTTACTGAGACTGGACTGAGTGATGCGTTTCCTATGGTGCAGTGGGGCTGCTCCCCAGTGGAGTTCTTACACCGAAGGTGTTTTTTTTTTTGTTTTTCGTTTCGTTTTCCATTGGATGTTTCCATCGTGCGTTTATTTGACATTGCACAGTTTTACAAAGGTAAAACGGTAGACCCAAATGCACTCCGGCGTTTACGTTGTGTAGGCTGCCGTCTTTCTTAGAGATAACTGGAGTGTGTGGTGTTCCTGGGCGCCCACTCACGCGCGGCGCTCATGTTCTCAGTGACGCCACGTCGAAGATAAAGAAGGTCAACAGCGACATTGAAGGTATTCGTGTGGAGACCAGCGAACTGCAGTCCACCAACCGCCAGCTCAACAGCAAGTGAGTGGGTGCTGTCGCCCGCTGCATCTGCTGGACACCTCGGGGGGATTGGGGGGGGGGGGAGGGGCGCAGGCCACCATGCTCGACTGCTTGACTGCTATGTTAGGAAGCGCCATGGGGTGTCCAAGTGGGTACGAGCGACGTTTGCTGGGATTGCCGGCCCATCGTTATCGGCATGCGTCTTTCATCATGAACACAGCATGTACTGATTCCACCACGAACAGCCGACTGAATACGCGTGCATTGTTGAGTCAGCTATGTGACCGAACCTGCAATCAGCTATCAGAGACTGACGGGCCATATGTGACGTCACGTGTTGTGTGGTGACGTCACCCACGTATGTCGGCCACGTGAGCGACAGCTGACCGCAAGACATTAGGGTGGTCGCATACTTAATTCCTTTTCCGTCGCCTGCGATGCCATTTCTGTCAGCAGCAGCTGAATGAGAGGCACGGACACTGTTCCATACTTCATACGTTCTTGCGCAGCGCCGGTAGTTTAATGCCTTGTTTTGCGGGAGTTCGGAGCATTTCCCATCCCGTACCCCTCCCCTTGCATCTGTCGTATCTGTAGCCATACGTTAACGATGGCCAGCCCCACCGCCCTTATCTCGTACTGGATATAACCAAGGGAGGCCTTGAGCTCATGTTTTTTCGGCATTACGAGTTCAGAATTATCATGCTGACGGTAATCTACTTTCGATACATTGGGAGGTGCTGGTTACGCGCTGTTATCAAGCAAACATTGGTTACACTGCCAGTGTTCGATGTTCCAAGTTGTGCCTATGGTCACAAGTGCTTATGAGACTCGTGATTATAAACACAGCTTGAAACGTTGAGTACGGACGGTCGAACCAGTCCCGTCCAGCATATTAAAAGATGATAAGTCAGGATAAGAGCTCTGGACTCGTGATGTCCACCTTTAGGGTATGTGTAATCTACAAATGTTCCATCCATCTTTTCGAAAACCGCATTTTATCATATAAAACATGTAGCAGTTTTAGGCACGCGTATGGTATACAAATGGCTCTTGGCCAACGGTACATGATCCTGGATCTTAAGTTTCATCTCCCCACTTTTGCGTAAATTGATAAAACCGGGCCGTTCCGTGGCTGTCTCTGAAGTCAATCGACTGACGCCATCTGTACAATGGCTGATGGTGGAGTTCTTAACCACTACTCACATAATAATGTACGAGTGTTATCTATCTGTTTTTAATGTTTCCCTTGCAGTAGCGGTATGGAAAGCACATTAATATCTGTTTCGAATAACAAGCATGCGGCGCGTGTGACCATGCAGTGACTATACGACTCACGCGGCGTGCGATGGAGTCGGAGACGACGTGCGAACTGCAGCTTTATGCAGCTTATCTGAGCAACAGTTCGTGCTGGAAACTTGCAGTTAACTTGTTGGGTCGTCAAGTTCCATTGCATTGTTGTTCGAGGAGATCCGTTGAACGAAAACGTGAACGAAAGTGGTGTTTCGTGTCGTTGATGTGGTATTGATCGCCGTTTTCAGATATCAGATGATTGAAGAGAGCCGGGAGTCTCAAATGCTCAAGAGCGGCCGCTACCTGGGGGCCAAACGGGAGGAGCTCGAAAACCGAACGCAGTAAGCTGCCCACTGGGCGTAGCGGAGTCACTCAACCCGACGTCGTAAACAAACAACGCCCCAGGGACCACTGTGCCCCTCTGGCGTCCGCAGAGTCGGATAACTGCCAAACATCAGGCTTAGCAACAAGCGCTACAGCGCTGTCTCGTACCTCAGCGTGCTCCTCAGACATTGGAGGCCTCCCGCCGTTTGGGCGCAGTTGAACTGTGGCTGGACACGTTCTGGGCACGTAAGCACTCGCACGTTCGAGGCGTATGAGCCGATGACGGCTCGAGCGTGGCGTTGTTGGCATCGGCCTCCGCACCATGGGCCGCGTTAACTGGCGAAGGCCGCGACCAGCATCGCCACGTGTCGCCACTGGGCCATCCAAGTATGCCAGGTGCGCGTGTTTCGAGCGCTGGACCCGGCGGCCGCGAGCGCCGCAGCCGGCCGCAGCCGCAGCCGCAGCGAGCTGTGAGGGCCGCCCGTGTCTGCAGGGTGCTGGAGAAGGGGAGGGCGCAGGCGGCGCGTGACCGGCAGACGCGCGCCGAGCGGACCTGCCAGCTGGAGCAGCTGGAGCGGCGCGCCGAGCACGACCAGCAGCAGCACCACCAGCAGCTGGTCACGCTGCAGCAGCAGGAGGAGACCATCTGCGCCACGGTTAGCGCCTCTAGTTTGGCGGCCTCCTGGGGCTACGGGATGGGCGCCAAGGGACCACTGTAGTCGGTGCGCCCGAAAACGCCAAGTTGGGTTATGGGACACTCGACTGTTTACAGTATATCAAATCAGGCAGTAAGGAAATGTCAATGTCAATGTCAATCAGGCAGTAAGGAAAAGTAAGGAATTGAAAATGTGACCTCTGACGTGCCTATGACCTAACCGTAACTGAACAACACAACATAAACCAAATTTACCGCGCCAGATGGTATGTCATGTCCGTTGGAACAGATGAAGATAGTTTTCCATTAATCCATTTTAATTTGCAAGATGTCTGTTTTCATCATTGGCTTTACTGGTTAACATCCCGGACGTTAAATTTCCATTCAAAGAATATTTGTTCCGGAAGTTGCGGATAAGGACGAAGCCAAGGGAGTTTTTCCTTTAAGGGCTTGGGCTTCCACGCTTCTGAAAGTAACCTGAATTTATATTTTATGGATTGATGTGCTGTGCTGTTAGGGTTGATGTGCTGAAAGGCAACAATCACGCATGAGCTTTTGCGGGGTTTCCAGAAACTTAAGGGCCTATCGATCACTGAAGAAGCCCCCGACTATCTGAAATATGGTCTTCGGCCAAAGAGATAGGGAAAGCGAACTAAATCCGAAATGGAAAGCGAACTAGGGGGTTGTAAGTGAGACCGGGAAGCTGCGCTGTTAAAGTTCCCCCCCCCCCCCCCTCCAGCTAAATCCTGGCTACGTGCCCAGTTTTTATGGATGGGGTCATGTGGATGTTGGTGTATGTGCCCGTAACCCCACACCCACACTCATACCCACACCCACACCCACACCCACACCCACACCCACACCCACACCCACACCCACACCCACACCCACACCCACACCCACACCCACACCCACACCACCCGTGCATCTGGGGTCGCCAAGTTGTTTTTGTGTGACCACGAGGAAGTGACGCTGACTGGAGTTGCGATCTCTGTAACCATCTCTGACGTTGCGGCATTGGCACGTTTGTGACATGCAGCGGGTGTGTTGGGACATGGTCAGCCTCTAACTACAGGAGCGGAATCTGTGTTCTCCTACCGCTGCTGCATCTACCGAAATTCACGTGATCGTGCCCTGCTGTTTGTGGTGCTGTGAATGCGCCGGGGGAAAACTGGACTTGCTCTGACCCCCACTCGCCCGCAGGTCGAGGCGCTGAAGGAGGACGCGGCCAGAAGGCAGCGCGCCCTCCTGCAATGGACCAGGCGCGCATAGAACCTGAGCGGCCATGTGTTTTGTGCTGTGTGCTTGCACGTGCTGCAGAGACTCTTCGCCTATCTGTCACCTCCCTCTCACCATGTCAGCTGAGCGGAATCACGACCGTCGTGTGGTAAACCATGCCCATACATTCTCTCTGATGTCTGCTTTTCCGTCGAATAGAAATATTGCGAGCATATCGAGTCTGTCACAGCTTTAGCCTCTGTCTATCGGATTGAGTTGATGAAGTCCTAGCTGACACTCGCCTCACGGCCGGCGCCAGATCTTGCACATGCGTACGGACGACGGCAAGTCACCGACTAAGTTTAGATTTAGGATGCCGTGCATCCGAGAGGCTTCCCGGCTGTTCGTCGTTTTGATGTCGATGTCGCTGATGTCGGTTCCACCCTGAGATAATGCGCTCGTGGCAGGACCTTCCCGGGTGGGGGCGTGCGGCAGTGCATCAGGATGAACTACTACCAGTTCAGAGGTACATGCTCTCATACCAAACGCGCGAGATGAGGCCCCGAGGGAGGGGGGGGGGGGAGGCGCTTTTGTGGCGCGTCTTCCGGACACCGGACGGCGCAAGCGGTGGGTGGCAGCTGATATAGAGCGTGGGTCGCCCTCCCAATTTCTGAACGGGGCCCACGCGTTGTTGGCGGACGAGGGTGTGGGCGCGGCTGCCGTTGCCTCTGCCGCTGGCGGCGGGCATTACGGACATAGCACCGTCATGCGCCAGCGTCTGTTACGCGTGCCGGCGAGCTGACCACCTGACCAGGGACTGCATGTCGGAGCGCGGCGATCGGGGTCGAGGTTTCCGTGGAGCGCGGAACCTGCGATGCTTCCGACGCATTCACGAGCATGTGGCACCGCCATGTCCGGAAAACGGACACGGGGAGGTGAATTTAGCGTCATTCTCCTCTCCAGGTCCTCAGTGAATGGGGGGGGGGGGGGGGCGCCCCCAGCCGTCCATTGGAAGGTAAGCGGCGTGCCCTGCAAGGCATGGGTGGACTCAGGGTGCACGCAAAGTATTGCTTAAGCGTCTGCCGGCGACAGAATAAGCGCAGGGTTATGGTGACGCCCGTCAGTGGGGAACGACGGTCGTGCGAGGGCACGGGGGGGGGGGGGGGGGGGTAGACGTGACGCTGCAATCAGGTCATGGCTCAAATCAGTGACCCACAAGCCACTCGGTTTTTTATTCAGTCTAGGGATGAACGGAGTCTTTGTCATGCGGGTTGTGACCATCTATGGATACGCTTGTGGTGCCATCCGTCGGTGCTAAGTCGACCGGCCCGGCCGAGAGGGTCGCCGCCTGCAGCGTCAGCGCCACCTGTACCGCCATGCTGACGCACACCCTTAAATAAAATTTAATGCCATGCGACCGGACAGCAACAAAGCTCCGCCGCCGACCACGGCCGGCTCTGTGCGCCGGGCCAGTCTTCTACCAAAAGCCGCCGTGGTGACACCAGTGAACTGAAGCTCTGCCCGTCTGTCTCAAAATATACAGCAAGACAAACTGTCTTTGGGACAGGGGCAGACCCAGAGGGGGGCCACGGGGACATGCCCCCCTTGGGCCCGAAGTGCCCATTGGCTCCGAGGAGGCCCATAACGAACCGAACAGGTACAGTTTTTTTTAACACAAAACGCATTAAAACTGGGTATCTCTGGGCTGCCAGGCCACCAAGAACAGTTGTAAGCGCGAGTGAATGGCCTATGAGAAGTTCGGAAAGTTATTCAGTGATAAGAAAGGTTGTTAACTGGAAATTTGAATCCCCATTACACTGTCCAATGGCCCCATGTTGTTGCCGGGGGGGGGGGGGGGGGGGGCTATATGCCTACTTGCAGGAGCATTTCGACCGTTAAGGAGCATACCACGCTGCCTTTAATTTATTTGCACTTGTTCGGAGGGCCCTGCGTTTTTGGGGCCCTTCCTGTTGGCGCGCCAGGGCACTCTTGTCAATCATGGGCCCTTCCGCGGATTCTTTCCTTTCGCCAGAAAGGCTTTTGAGCTATAGCCGAGGTCCCATATCTTAGCCTGCTGCGGCATTCGCGTTTGCTCAGGGGCCCTTTACGTGGGTCTCTGTTAACCTACCGACACACTTGTGATATGCTCGTGGGTCCTCTACATTGGTCTGGGGCGTTTCCAATTCCCCGTCACTTGCTTAGGGCCCTGCACTCTCGTTGAGGACCCATCTGATGGCCTGTTTGGGCACACTCCGTCGTTCGGGGCCCTCCACACTGGGCCTCGGGTGTTTCTTTTCTGAAAGGGGGGGGGGGCACTACGCTCTTGTGGGGGGCCTATCTGATAAATTGCTTGGGCACATTCGGTGGTTCGGGGCCCCCTACTTTGGGCCCTGGGCGCGTGTTTTTAGTGGGGCCCTACGGACTTGGCGACGCTCATTGTTCACCTCCTCGGCCACACTTGATTGCTCGGGGCCCTGCACATCGGCTCTTGGTGTTTGAATTTAGGGCCCTCTACTCCTATCGGGGTCATCCGATAACCTGTTCTGGTACACTCCATCTTTCGGGGCCCTCCGCGCCGGGTTTTGGGTACTTCTTATTTGAGTGGAGGGCCTTACGCCCCTGTCGAGACCCCTTCTGATAGGATGTCCGGGCCCATTTGGTGGCGGGGGACCTCTACATCTGGTTTTGGGTACTTCCTTTTTGAACAGGGGGGCCTCCGCTCTTTCGGGGGCCCTATCTGTTAACCTGCTCTGGCGCACTCGATTATTCGGGGTCCTCTACATCTTGTGGGTATTTCATAGTTAAACGGAAGGCCCTACGCCCTTGCCGGGGCCCCATCTGTTAGCCTGCTCGGGCACACTCGAATATCCGGGCCCTCCACATTGTGTCCTGGATACCTCCGACCTGAATGGGGGGCCCCACGCACTTGTCGGGAACCCATCTGTTTGCAGTTATGGCCACACTGGATTGTTCGGGGGCCCTATATATTGGTTCTTGGTGTTTGAATTTAGGGTCCCACACTTCTGTCCGGGCCACTTGATAATCTGCTTGGGAATACTCCATTTTTCGGGGGCCCTCCGCGCTTGGTTTTGCGCACTTCTTATTTGAATAGATGGCCCTACGCTCTTGTTAGGCTTCTTCTGATAAGCTGTTCAGGCACATTCCATCATTCTGAGGCCATTTCCAAAGGGTCTTCGGTGCTTCCCATTCGAATGGAGTGCCCTACGCTCTTGTTGGGAGCCCTATTTGTTGACCTGCTTGGGCGCATTTGATTATTCGGGGGCCCTCTACGGTGGGTCTTAGGTGCTTCCTATTTGTATGGAGGGCCTACGCCCTGACGGGGGCCCTATATGCCAACCTGCTCTGACACACTGGATCATTCGGGGGTACTCTGCATTAGGTCTTGAGTACTTCCTGTCTGGATGAAGGTCCTTACGCTCTTTTTGGGGGCCTTATCCGTTAACCTGTCCGGACACACTCGATCATTTTGGGGCCCTCCATACGGGGTCTCGGGTACTTCCTATTTGAATGGAGAGCCGTACGCTCTTGACGGGGGCCCTATATGCCAACCTGCTCTGACACACTGGATCATTCGGGGGTACTCTGCATTAGGTCTCGGGTACTTCCTATTTGGATGAAGGTCCTTATGCCCGTTTTGGGGGCCTTATCCGTTAACCTGTCCGGACACACCCGATCATTTGGGGGCCGTCCATACGGGGTCTCGGGTACTTCCTATTTGAATGGAGAGCCGTACGCTCTTGACGGGGGCCCTATATGCCAACCTGCTCTGACACACTGGATCATTCGGGGGTCCTCTGCATTAGGTCTCGAGTACTTCCTATTTGGATGAAGGTCCTTATGCCCGTTTTGGGGGCCTTATCCGTTAACCTGTCCGGACACACCCGATCATTTGGGGGCCGTCCATACGGGGTCTCGGGTACTTCCTATTTGAATGGAGAGCCGCACGCTCTTGACGGGGGCCCTATATGTTAACCTGCTCGGGCGCACTCGGTCGTTCAGGGCCAGAGCCGGTCGTTCAGGTCGTCACATTGCGCTGTGAGTGTTCCTTATTTGAATGGATGACCCTATTTTCTTAGCGGGCCCCATTTATTGTGCTGCTCGAGCCGGTGGCGGATGCAGAGGGTGATGGGGGGGGGGGGAAGCACGGGACCATGCCCCATGGACGATGCCGAGGGGGCCTAAAGGCTCCGAACGGGCCCTTACCGGCCGGACGGACACAGTTTTCTTAGACCAAAAAACAAAATTCGATACCTTTGGGTCTGCAGATGATCAAGAACAATTCTTGGCAAAAGTAAAGGCTTCTTAAGCAAACGAAATTTATTCTCCGCTGATTGAGAAAGTGTTGCTTGCGAGAAATTTTGGGGCTCATTACGCTGTCTAAAATCATTATGCTGTTGGTTGCCTGGCCCTTTAGGTCCACTTGCCGGGTCAATCCGGTTGCTAAGGACCTTTCCACGTTGCCCTTGATCTCTTTGCATTTTCTGGTAGGGCCCAATGTGTCGTTGGGACGCTATCTGCCTCCATGCCTGAGCACTGTTGATCGATCAGGTTTTCCTTCACGGATTCTTCCCGTTCGCCTGAAAGGCTCTGTACACTTTTCCGGGGCCCCATACGCAGTGGTATACTCAGTTCCTCAGGGGTCGTCCATAGAAATCTCGGACACTTTCCACTTACTTGGAGGGCCCTGTGCTGTTGCTAGGACCCTTATAAAGTAAGGCACGGAGACACTCGATGCTCAGGGGCCCTCTGCTTTATCGAGGGGCCTCTCCATTTGGTCCCATTTGTGGATTACTTTTACTCCTATCGAGGCTCGTGTTGTTTACCTGCCCGTGCACTCTTGATCGCATGGTGGCATTAATTTATGCTCTTTGATAATTCCCTTTGCTCGGAGGGTCCTGTGCTATGGCCGGGACCTTATATTTCAGCCTACCGAGGCACTACCGATCGCTTAGAGGCCCACCGCGTTGGTCTTGGGCTCTTTTTGCTTGCTCTGAGAACCCTATACTTGCTGACGGGAGCCACTTTGTTGGCTACCTGCGGCACCCATGATCGCTCAAGTTCTGTCCCCATTGGCTTTGATGCCTTCGCCTTAGAGCAGCAGTCGAATACGCGCCGATGAATTTTTGCGCGCAATTGCCGAACGTAATTTTATGTGCCGCCGACGTCGTATGCGTCATTTCCATTGGCTATTGAGTGCACCACACTTGTTCTACTGGTGCATCACGTTCTTAACATATTTTGAATGATAGGATACACAAGCTACAAGAGGGATCAATGTGCTTGAAATTGCATTACCGTTTAAAATTATTCTCTAGCGAGGAAAATTAAGTCTTGCGGGTTTAATTGTATTAGTGCACGGCTATCAAATGACATCAAAGATCTGGCTGTGAGACGAATGCCCTCCTCTTTCCACCATGTAAGCAAAAACGCCGCATCTTTTTAAAATATTTATACTGGAGTGAAGGCCGGCCGAACTAGGGACAACCTACCAAACGGCATCCAAACGTTATGCCCTCCCAAACAGCCTTTTCTGCCTCTCATTTGATATGACCTCACCAGTATTCCGTCCTGGTCACTATTCATGCGCTTGTGTGGTGTAAATGGCTCATCAACCATGTGATATACCAAACTATATTTCTAAAGAGCAATACAAAAGACGCAGTCCAAGCAGTGGCAGTGCAGAGAAAGGTGCACTGGGCACCGAACATGGCAGTAATTGTTTAGTGAGCACTGTCGCAGTCCGCGAGCGTGACTACAGATCCCAGCAAAGGCGAGCGCAAGCCCACGCTACCGAGCGCTATACGCACACACCCGGCTCTACAGCTCAGCACATCAACACACCCTACTCCTGTCAATACCCCTCACTGCTGCCGACCTCCTGCTTCTTTTCGTCGGCGTCGGCCGCAGTGTCGTAGGCCGGCTCGGCGTCGGCCGCAGTGTCGTAGGTCGCATCGTAGAAGGCCGCGAGGTCATAGGCGGCAGCGTCGTAGGCCGCGTCGTCGTAGGCTGGGACACCGGCGGCAGAATCATCGTCGCTCGCGGCGTCGTCGACCGCAGCATCGTCGGCCGCGGCGTCGTCAACCGCGGTGTCGTCGGCCGCGTCGTCGTCGACCGCGGTGTCGTAGGCCGCGTCGTCGTCGGTCGCGGTGTCGTAGGCCGCGTCGTCGTCGGCCACGGTGTCGTCGGCCGCAGTATCGTCGGCTGCGTCGCCGTCGGCCGCGGTGTCGTAGGCCGCGTCGTCGTCGGCCGCGGTGTCGTCAGCCGCAGTGTCGTCGGCCACGGCGTCATTGGCCGCGGTGTCGTAGGCCGCGTCGTCGTCGGCCGCGGTGTCGTCAGCCGCAGTGTCGTCGGCCACGGCGCCGTCGGTCGCAGTGTCGTCGGCCACATCGTCATTGGCCGTGGACTCGAGTGGCGTCTCCTCCGGTGGCAGAGACAAAGCTGCATTTCGTCCTTGGCCGTACTGGGGCGAACAGCCCGACTCGTCCGAGCCGTCGGCACAGTCGGGCTGGCCGTCACAGAAGTCGCCGATCGCCAGGCACTCGCCGGACATGCACGGGAACATACCCGGGGCGCACGCGACGGCCAGAGGCTCCGGACCCGGGGCTGAAGGAAGAGCATGCCAACACTTAACGCGATGCTGGACGCCTCGGCTAGGCAGCGGGCGGCCAGCTGGGTTGACATCACGCCTCGGATAGCCTGTACCTTAATCGTCAATACATTTCGGGGAGTCAAGTACCTGCCTGAGATGTCCAACGCACCCAGCAAGGTAAAGTGACGTGATTTGTAAAATGCAATTATAAATACAAATTGTCTGCGACCACCATGCCCTAGACAACACGGAGCCGCCGGCCACCCTCAGGGCGGCCAGCCATGCCTGCCGTGTCGTGGCGCCGGCGTGACGACTCACGCTCGATCTGGAGTGTGATGACGTCCTCCTGGCGCCGGCCGTACTGGTCCAGCACCCAGCACACGTAGCGGCCCGCCGCCGACTCGTCCACGTCGCTCAGGCTGGCGACAGAGGCTCCGCGTCACGGCGCACTCTGGCGCTCAGCGTCGTGACGTCATCGTGGAGGGCACGTCGACACGTGCTCGTCCACATGTAAGCAGTCGAGTAAATGCTGATGCGAACGCTTACTTATTCGGATGCGTCCACGCCGTGGATGTTGATACCTAGTTACGGCATACAAGACAGACATGTTCAGTAATACAACGGCACACGGTCTGTGGCGCTGCCGAACTCCATAACTTCGAATTGTGACAGAAGTGACGGCAAAAGGGGCGTTGCTGACGATGGACCGTCTCAATCGGCTGCAGCTCATTACTGCCGCTGGGGGTGTCGGTAGTGCACTGGTTAACGCGTCTGCGTCAACGTGGTGCTGGGATGTCTCAGCACGCGTTCAGCCAGGCGAGCACGAGGCGCGGTGCGACGCGTCGATGCTGCACCGCACTACACACATACAAACGGCGTCTGTTGTTTCTCATGTTCAATGCGTTTCTCAGAAACGTTTCGGAAAAGGCCTTTTAAATTGTTCGATCCTTCCTAAGCAGGCTGCTCTTCTCATTGTGTCGATATTTCGGGTACGTAGCACGTGCAGGGACGGTCCCAGAGGCGGCTGCAGTGCCGGTTCCCCCCGGCTGCACGTCGCACATTGGGAGACACCTTCAGAGAATTTGGCGGTCATGCCCAGATGGCGTCTCCCCGGGACTGCACGCACGGCCTGGGGTTCACAGTAGCAGGCGTTACTTCTAGAAAATCAGAGAGTTCCAGCATGTGGACGTAATCATTGCAATAAAGCAAAAGCAGCGTAGCAGGGAAGGTTACAGATGTAAAAAGGAGGAGTTTCCAAACACTGTGAAGCGCATTACCGGTAGTTAATACTGGCATAAAAGGGACATTTCTTCGCGTCTACACGAAAAGCTTTGTATTGCAGATGACCCTTACATGCGACGTCTTAAATGGCGGTGAAATAGCTAGGCCATGTTAGGTATAGCAGTATGATGGCATGCTGAGGCTGTTGGGCCAATGCAACATGCGGACATTGGATAACCTCATGCTCTGCCCTCAGACGTTCCCTTACGCACCATTGGATAACCTCATGCTCTGCCCTCAGACGTTCCCTTACGCACCATTGGATAACCTCATGCTCTGCCCTCAGACGTTCCCTTACGCACCATTGGATAACCTCATGCTCTGCCCTCAGACGTTCCCTTACGCACCATTGGATAACCTCATGCTCTGCCCTCAGACGTTCCCTTACGCACCATTGGATAACCTCATGCTCTACCCTCAGACGTTCCCTTACGCACCATTGGATAACCTCATGCTCTGCCCTCAGACGTTCCCCTACGCACCAAACTGACGTAATACCAGCTTGCATGGAGCGACCTCCTCTAACGTTCCGAAAAATCCGAGGAAGTCGAGTTTAAAAAGGCCTGTTTTTTATCGATGCGACGGGAAATGGCTCATTTGATAAAGCCAATTGACACGACAATATTCAATACCGAGCTCACTTTGCCATGACGTCAGTCAGGCAATGGTCGTAAGTAGCACAGCTTTGCTCTACGCCATGCTATGGAGATTCGAAGCTGTTTGGTCAGCAAGCCGATTGAGACTGTCGAATCACCTCTGGCTCGGACCCCGGACGCCCTCTGGGGTTACCAACTGGCGAGTGACAGTCTTTTGTGAAAGTCACGGGATTTCATCTCCGCTAAGCTTCTTCAAAACTGAAATGGACCGGGGCCAAAGGCTCCTGCTTTGATCGACTTGACGTGGAATTCTCACTCCCCCCCCCCCCCCCCCCCCCACCCCTTCCTCCGGGAATAAGTTATTTGTCCCAATGGCATGCATCAGAGGGCTGTTCTGCCGCCGTGCACACGCCAGCTAGCTATAATATGATGAGTTGCGCCACTGCCCCACGCCAGTGAGCCTGTTCTGCGCTTGTGAGTCTGCCCCACGTCTGTGAGCCTGTCCTGCGCCCTGTGAGCCTGCCATGCACCACTGGGCCTGCTCTGCTCCGCTGAGCCTGCTCTGCGCCGCTGAGCCTGCTCTGCCCCACTGAGCCTGTCCTGCGCCCTGTGAGCCTGCCCTGCTGCCCTGCACCACTGAGCCTGCTCTGCCCCACTGAGCCTGCCCTGCGCCCTGTGAGCCTGTCCTGCACCACTGAGCCTGCTCTGCCCCGCTGAGCCTGCCCTGCGCCGCTGAGCCTGCTCTGCGCCGCTGAGCCTGTCCTGCGCCACTGAGCCCGTCCTGCGCCACTGAGCCCGTCCTGCGCCCTGTGAGCCTGCCCTGCGCCGCTGAGCCCGTTCTGCCCCACTGAGCCTGCCCTGCGTCCTGTGAGCCTGCCCTGCGCCGCTGAGCCCGTCCTGCGCCACAGAGCCGGCCCGCCGTCTTACGTCAGTGAGATGTCGTCGGCGACGGCGCTGTCGGGCAGCGGGCCCTCCTCGCGGGACCAGCTGATGCGGCCGTCAAAGCCGGAGCTGTCGCAGCGCATGGTGACCGTGCCGCCGACATAAGCCCGCACGTCACGGTCGAACGCCACGATCCGGGCGCCCTCTGGCGGGCGGACAGCGCAGAGTATCGCTCGTCAGCTCGCATTGGCAACGACCGTGTCAGATGATACCCGGCGAGGGAGTCACGCTGGTCGCTGGCGTACAGTGCGGCCTGAGACGCATTAGAAGCACCAACTGGGCCTTAGGATACACCGTGGTGACAGCTACGTCTGCTCTGCTTCGAGCACGGCCGCAGATCACGTGAGAGTCACCGGGGGCGTCCGCGTCACCGGTGGATTCTCAGTCCACCGAATCAGCGCCGCAATCAGCACCACGCCATAAACGCCTCGTCCGTACCGACAATAGCAGATCAACGAAGCCATCTCTTTTGCACTGTATGTGGCAGAGCAGTCCACTACCAGGATGCAGCAAGCTCTCTAGTGAGACCTGCCTCAACGCCTCGACATCCGTCGCGAGACGAGCACTCACCGCTGACGAGAACCTCGGCCACGCCCTGGGCGCGGCCTGCCGTGTTTTCAGCCACGCAGATGTACCGGCCGGCGTCTGACTCGGCGATCGAAGAGAACTGAAAAGACGGTTTGCATTAAATTTTGTCTGCCGTGAGGATTTTCGATTGCCCAGGTTCAGAGAATTTATTAGAGGAGGGCGAGTTCGTTAGGTTCATGGAAATAAAAAATGCAAACGTGTCAAAATGTCACTGAATACGGGATACGATATCCAACCAACCAAACCCAGCAGCGTAAACGTTAAGTTTGCATGCGATGATCATGAGCGTGTTTGCGAATTAATTGACAAATTATCACTGATGATGACCCAGGAAAAGCGTGCGATGCAGGTGGTGTCGGAATATCTACAACGCCTCGTCTCACAAATTGTCCCTTTCCCACATCCACATAGCTACCATATAAGGCGAAGGGAGACTCCCACGGGAAGTAACTTTGGGGGCGACTGGTTCCCACGAATGATGGCGTTATGCTCTGTATACTGCAGGATTGGGAAAGAGCCGAGGCCGACTAACAGCGATGATGCCTTGGACGACGGAGGCCGAGTCGGGCATCGGTCCGCTGAGGCGCTCCCAGGAGACCGAGATCGGCTCGTCGCCGGTGGCAGAGCACTGGATGCTGACCGCGTCTCCCAGCTGGACCACTTGGCGCAGCGGCTCCACCTGCACCCGTGGCGGCTCTGAAGGTACAGGCGCAGGGGCGGTCAGCGCGGCACCCGTGGCGGCTCTGAAGGTACAGGCGCAGGGGTGGTCAGCGCGGCACCCGTGGCGGCTCTGAAGGTACAGGCGCAGGGGTGGTCAGCGCGGCACCCGTGGCGGCTCTGAAGGTACAGGCGCAGGGGCGGTCAGCGCGGCACCCGTGGCGGCTCTGAAGGTACAGGCGCAGGGGCGGTCAGCGCGGCACCCGTGGCGGCCCTGAGGGCACGGGCGCAGGGGCGGTTAGCGTGGTACCCGCGGCGACTCGGGAGGCACAGGCGCATGGGCGGTTAGTGCCGTAGCCGCAGTGGCTCTGAAGGCGCAGACGCTGGACCGGTCCGGACTGCACCACACACCGGCCCCAGCTGTGCCTGCAGCGACTCTGAATGCATAAGTGAGCACAGCGGCGCTCAAACTTCCTGATGGCAATGCCAGCGGTATGGCATCCGAGCCATGGCATTGTTATGATACTGGCTGTGTTCGCATGAGTGTCCTGGTAATATGGCCACTTGATCCTAACGGTGAAATTTCCGGGTCTCAAAATGTGTTGGGGTGGATACACACGCGCACGCACACCCACACGCATACCCACACCCACACTCACACCCACACTCCCACACACCCCCACACCCCCACACCCACACCCACACCCACACCCACATCCACACCCACACCCACACACCCACCGACACTCACACCCACACCCACCCACCCACCCACACCCACACCCACACCCACATATATATATATATATATATATATATATATATATATATATCGTACGTCCCGGGGCTCAGTTGGCTAGAGCGCCTGTATTCCGTTCCACCCACCCGTGGCAGGGTGGGTTCGAGTCGCTTTAGGGCGCTCGCTATTTGCCCTTGACATGTATGACCGGCGGCAGCGGTCGCGCAAAAAAGGTCAGTTGACGTCAGAGGGCAGGATGGACCGTGCCGAGCATTGGGGCGCGTTAAGCTTTCGTCACTAAATTCTGCCGTTGCCTGGAATTACGAGATCGGATGGTGGGGTCAGGGCTCACACAACAAGCACTGCTTAGCGTGAGCGCTTATCCCAAAAATCCATCCATTCAAAGGTTTGGGATCAAATGTATAATAATAAAAAATATTGGTATAGACAGACGTATATGTATCGATCTATCTATCTATATATCTACTTTTCTGTCTTGCTACCCACCCATCTATCTCAGAACGGATTTTAAATTTGCGGGTTGGATTCAACTAGCTCCTGAAAGTTGAGCTGTAGTGAGCCGTGAAAAGTACATCAATGCGTCTTCCCTGGGCTGACATGTCGCACCTCGTAAGATAACTCAACTCTCGTGGCGCGTGCAAGGTCGCTAAGCGCTCTCACCGATCACTCGGAGCGTGGCGTCCGCCCGGAAGAGCACCTGCTGACCCGCGCCATGGCCCAGGCAGGTGTAGGTACCCTCTGCCTCCTTCTGCACGCGGAAGATGTACAGAGTGCCATCTCGCACTTCGTGGTTGTCTGGCATATTGCCGCTGGAGCGAACCCACGTGATGCGGACTGGAGGGCTGGAACCTGAGAAAAACCACGTGATCACTTTTTAAGTCCAGAGCATCGAAAACAGCGGGGCGGGGAAGGAGGGGGCACTGCAACCGTGTGGCTTGTGATGCATAACAGATCGGAGGCTGCCTTCTTTGGCATTGAGCTTGACAATATCCAGTAAACAATTACGTGCATGGAGGTTCAATAGACGCATAGACGAATACCTTCAGATCCTCAACAAACAGAACATACATACAGAACATACAGACGCTCAGCCTCCAGCCGCGCGAATGGTAATGACTCCAAAAGTATTTGGATACATAGTAATAATCACACTACTGGGGGGCCATGTGCCTAGCACACCGAGAACAGTACGACACTGGCGCCTCCCCCCCCCCCCCCCCCCGAGAGGACGATACTGGCCCTCCTACCTTCGACGAGGCAGATGAGCTCGGCGCTGCCGTTGAGCGGCACGACGTACACCTCCTCGGAGGGGCGCGCCGAGCCGGTGGGGTATACGGGAGGCCGGCCGCCCCCGGCCGCCGGGCGCCTGCCGTCGTCGGCCGGCTCCACCACCAGCCGCAGTCGGTCGGACGCGCGGCCGGCGTCGTTCTCGGCGCGGCACGTGTACACGCCGGCGTCGGCGGCCGAGGCGTCGTCGATGTACAGTATGGCGCGACCCGGAACACCCGACACGCCCGACCGGACGCCGCCGCCCTCCCAGGTCACAGAAGGCGTGGGGTCGCCGCTGGCGGAGCAGCGCAGCTGCACCCGTTGGCCCTCCGACACCCTGACGGCGACGGCGACAGCAGCTGTGAACTCTCGTCAGCCAAGAGAGACGTTACACGTCCTCTGTCACCCTGACGGTGGCGGCGACAGGAGCTGTGAACTCTCGTCAGCTAAGAGAGACGTTACACGTCCTCTGTCACCCTGCCGGTGGCGGCGACAGGAGCTGTGAACTCTCGTCAGCTGAGAGGGACGTTACACGTCTTCTGTCACCCTGACGGTGGCGGCGTCAGGAGCTGTGAACTCTCGTCAGCTAAGAGAGACGTTACACGTCCTCTGTCACCCTGACGGTGGTGGTGACAGGAGCTGTGAACTCTCGTCAGCTGAGAGGGACGTTATACGTCCTCTGTCACCCTGACGGTGGCGGCGACAGGAGCTGTGAACTCTCGTCAGCTAAGAGAGACGTTACACGTCTTCTGTCACCCTGACGGTGGCGGCGTCAGGAGCTGTGAACTCTCGTCAGCTAAGAGAGACGTTACACGTCCTCTGTCACCCTGACGGTGGCGGTGACAGGAGCTGTGAACTCTCGTCAGCTAAGAGAGACGTTACACGTCTTCTGTCACCCTGACGGAGGTGGTGACAGGAGCTGTGAACTCTCGTCAGCTAAGAGAGACGTTACACGTCCTCTGTCACCCTGACGGTGGCGGCGACAGGAGCTGTGAACTCTCGTCAGCTAAGAGAGACGTTACACGTCCTCTGTCACCCTGACGGTGGCGGTGACAGGAGCTGTGAACTCTCGTCAGCTAAGAGAGACGTTACACGTCCTCTGTCGCCCTGACGGTGGCGGCGACAGGAGCTGTGAACTCTCGTCAGCTGAGAGGGACGTTACACGTCCTCTGTCACCCTGACGGTGGCGGCGACAGGAGCTGTGAACTCTCGTCAGCTAAGAGAGACGTTACACGTCCTCTGTCACCCTGACGGTGGTGGTGACAGGAGCTGTGAACTCTCGTCAGCTAAGAGAGACGTTACACGTCCTCCGCCACCCTGACGGAGCTGTGAACTCCAACGTCATATGTGGCTATTACATGTCAAGCACGCACGCGCATGGACGCAGCACGCGTATAGACCAGAAGGTGAATCAAAATCGAGACCAGAGAAACTGCCAGCTGTTGGTACGTTACCGCCCCATCAGATGAGCACGCAAAATGCAAGCGGCGTTTGCCGATCGCGCCCAGTCCTTGGCTCACCTATACAGCGTTGGCTGCTCGAGCCTGATGACAGGGGGCGACATGACGTCCAGGATCGCCAAGGCCCTGGCCGAACCCGCCGCGTTGGTCGCCGTGCACACGTACTGTCCATCTTCCTCGCCAGTGACGCGGAGGAATCTGCCGGTGGGTAAGAGACATGTCATTTGTACAGCGTATATCAAGCTCCGTTTGTGTTTTTGAAGCGCGTCTTGCTTCTTGTCAGCAACCAGTACGTACGATCGATATCATCTCACCAATTTTTGAAAAACAGCTGGCTATGTGAAATACATTCTGGGATCAAAAGGCGTCGGCACAGAGTGCAATTCAGTGCTTCATACAGTGCTGTTTTGCGCAGTAATACTGGAACACAACTTCAAATGTATAGAATCGTAGCATCAGACCTGGGGACCTCACAAACCAAGCCGTCCAGCGCAGCTGTCGACAACCGAGCGGTCCTCAGTTTTCACACCAGCCCCGGTAGCGCTAGATTTGCCGTGCTCGCTACCGCCACCACCAGCTGAGTTCAACCGCCGCGCGCCGCCCCGAGGCTGTCTTCTGACCTGATGACACCGCCGGACACCTGTTCGGCGGAGCGCGGCAGCGGACTGCCATCGGCACGCGTCCAGCTGAGCTGGGGCTCCGGCTGGCCGGCGGTGACGCGGCACTGGATCAGCGCCGAGCCGCCGCTCACCACCTGCTGCGAGGTGGCCGGGTACAGCTCCACCACGGGATGCTCCAGCCCTGGCGAGCAGGCCGTCACAGCCGCGGTCACAGCACGGGACAGCTCCTTCTGGGGCGGCTCTACCGCCACCGGACCGGCGACAGCTTCACCTGGGGCGGCTCTTCCACCACCGGACCGGGGACAGCTTCACCTGAGGCGGCTCTACCACTGCTGGACCGGGGACAGCTTCACCTGGGGCGGTTCTACCATCGCCGGACCAAGGACAGCTTCACCTGGGGCGGCTCTACCACTGCTGGACCAGGGACAGCTTCACCTGAGGCGGCTCTACCACTGCTGGACCAGGGACAGCTTCACCTGGGGCGGCTTTACCACTGCTGTACCGGGACGGGTTCACCTGGGGCGGTTCTACCACCACCGGACCGGGGACAGCTTCACCTGAGGCGGCTTTACCACCGCTGGACCAGGGACAGCTTCACCTGGGGCGGTTCTTCTACTGCCGGACCGGCGACAGCTTCACCTGGGGCGGCGCTCCCACTACAGGACCGGGGACAGCTTCACCTGAGGCGGCTCTACCACCGCCGGAGATACCCCACAGTCACACACACACACACACACACACATACAGTAACAGGTCATGCCAGGGTACAGCTTGACCCGGTAATGCTCCGCCGTATGTACGTAATGCTGCCGCATGCAGTCGAGTTAGGCACAGACACGGAGGACGCAGCTGAGGTGACTTCATCGCTGCCGAACACGGTAGGTCATTGGCCTGGTCTAGTGACGGTCGCGGTCACAGCCAGGCGCAAACATGGCCACAGATACCGACGGATGCAACTCTTCACCCAGCTCAGGATTGACGGGGGAGGGGGGGGGGGGGGGATATCCGATCTCTGCTTCACCAGAACTGAACAAAATCAATGCATAGTTGTACGGAAGGATTGAGGCGAGGTATCAGTATTCCGAGTGGACTAAGTGTTCAGATTATCGTCCCGCCTGGTGTGACAGCAAGCACACATGTTAAGGAATGACAACATGCTAACAGACCAGACGAGAACGATAGCCTCATTAACACGCGATGAGGGATCAAATTGACCGCCTTCCCCCCACCGAAGGTTTTTCCTGAATGATTTCCGAACGGTGCGGTGCAGAGGCGCCAAATGTAGCATAGCTGTAGACAATTGAATAGAAAATTGCTTGACTTAAAAAATTAGATGCACCTTGTAAGGTCGCTGACCTATGGCAGGTCAAAGTCAGGCTATGGTCTCCGCGAAGTCCATTTCTAGGGAATCATTCAATCCGATGCAACAACGGGGAGTTAGACGAAGCCATACGTCTCTGAGATGCTTTGTTAGGCAACACAAATATTGGATGAGCAAATAATGTTGACCTAAGGTCAGGTATGAAGGTCAGACCAAGATCATAAGCAAACTGTTTTATTATTCTAGGGCCTGCTGAATGGGACAGTTTCTGATGCTCATTTCGAATTTATTGATAGCAGGAACTGCATTATACAGCTTCCATGGACTTTTTACAGGTCAGAACAGGTTATTGACTTAAAATGACCCAGGTCAACATTTTTTGTTTTAAAAGAAGCATACTGCCTAGCGTAATCTTTGCCGCTTGTTCAAATGCAAAACTCAGAGCAGTCTTCTATGATTTTGGTCACCATAACCTTCAAAAGGTTAAACAAGGCTACTGAACTTAGATGAGCATGTGACCTTTGGCTTAGAAACAGTTATCTAGGTTCTGGGGGCACTTTGAAGACCAACCTGAAAATTGACCTTGTTTTGACCTTGTTTGGCCCAAAGGTCATGACCTAGGAACCTCAAACTTTGACCTAAATGAGTTCACGTACAGGTTAATACACCCTGTAAATTTGCTGTCCCTAGCTCTCTTAGTTCCCGAGATCTCAAGGGGGGTCATATTCAACCCCACCGGAGCGAAGGGTATCTAGCCGGCCGCCCGGGCGCGTGTTAATCATTGCGACCGTGAAAACTAACGTAAAAGGACCAAATGACGTTTCCGCTGATGTGATGATGTCTTCGTGACCTGGGATGCCAGCAGATGACTCCGGCCCAAATATTCGTTTTCTAGACTCGCAAGGTAGTGAAGAGCACGCCGGTGCCCATGAAGTTGTTTTTTGCTTTCTTGTTTGTGAATCACACCGGCAAGAACATTTTGCCATCTTTAAGACATGGTTGTTGCCTACATAATCATGACCTGAAAGGTGGCCTATCGGACTGCCCCCGCTCGAAATGGATATGAAAGGATAGTTTATACAACGAGCAACACATTTGTACTTTCCGCGATGCTCTGGACACGTCGACGGCTCTCAAATATTGTCTTCGTATGAAGTCGTTTGTACTTATGGGTCGAGCTGAATTACGGGGAAGCATGCTGGCCGCGTACAGCGGCCTCACAAACAGCTCCGAAAGGGTCGTTACTTTCATCAATGTTCATAATTATCTAAATCATATTTCGTCGTTGGTGCCAGAATGTTCCACATCGAGGGAATGGATGTTAACAAGAATGGAGTTTCATGGAAGGTTCAAAGGGGCGTACTTCCGTAAGATGAGTCTGGGGAAGGGGCAGAGCAGGGGCTGAACAGTGAAAAATAACAAAAACTGGCCGCAAAATGCGCCAACAACGTGCATTTCTGATCACTTTGGCTCAGTTTCTTTTCCCAGTTGGGGTAGCTTGTTTGGAGAGGAGGGGGGGGGGGGGGGAGGGCTGGAGTCCCGCAGACTGAATAGGAAAATACACTCCTACGGGAGGCTGGTTTCTAGAGCATCGCATTTTTTGCCTCTAGCGCTACATGAAAATGATGGCTAGCGGTGTGGCGCCGCTCTACACATCCCTAATTTAACAGTACAACCAAAAAGAGCTTATCGCTAAAACGGCATTGCTGTTGTGTGAGCAATGGCACAAGAGCGCACGAAAACTAATAAGTGATATTGAGCATGTTTATGGTGTATTTTCATTTTTCAGAGGTGTGACCGTAGCCTGAATTGCTTTGTTAATAAGGTTGCTACTCGATCACTTTGCTGTACAGTCTGCAGGGGACAAAACAAGTATACAGTGATGACATAAAGCTACGGGAACTTATCTCGCTCAAGTATGGGGTTCAAGCACATCGACGATAAAGGTGTAATTGACAGTGCATGTCTCAGGAAAGACCAAGATTCGTTTCCGCGCGACCTGCTCCTCCACAAATTGGGTTCGAAGTCACCCCTGCGTAACGCAGCGTTTTCAATATGTCGCCACGAGATGTCAAATTCATAGTCGGGAAGTCACCAAATCTCAGTATTGCAGATGACACGGTTTGGTAATGAGATAGGACACAAAATAGAGAAGCTTATAGCACAGGGCCATCGCGTGCACTTCAGGGCCTCAACAAATGCGTGTTAAATCAAACCACCAGTACGTGTGTCACATAAGATGGGATCACTATAGCCTCACATTTCCTTACATAAAACTTGAACTCAACTCCGTCTGTGGCCACCCATGTTCTGGGGGAGAATCGCTGCATACGCCTTTTCGGCGAGGGACCACAGGCCACCGCCTGGTGACCCACGACCGAGTGTCACGGCTGCTCGCCACTGGACACGCCCGGGGCCGGCCACTCACGCTCCACCTCCACGATGGCCGACGACTGGGCGCCGTCGACGGAGCAGACGTAGACGCCGCGGTCCGCCGGTGCGATGTTCCGCAGCAGCAGCGAGCCGCCCGCCTGCTCGGCGCCGGCGGGCAGCGGCTGGCCAGCCCGAGACCAGCGCACCTCGCCGCCCGCCGAGCCGTCTGCCGGCACAGGCGGAGACGCTGACGGGCTGACGGACTGAGGTCTCAGAGACGGTTTGGTTGTGCTCCCATCGGCCAAACAGACGACCGTGGCGGCTGTGGCAGGAAGCTGCCGAGCAGCCAGCGATGGGCCGGAGCAACGGGTGGTCCGCGTTGACGCGGTTAGTATGTTAACCCTAAAATAATCCAGTTGACCAAGTCTATTGTGGAGACTCGTAGAACTGCGCAGTGCACCAAGGGCTATCCCGCGCTGTCTGACGCCCCCGGCCGGCTGACCCAGCCGGCGGCAGTCGGGCTGGACCCGCCTGACGCCTGTCAGTCGGGGCTGGACCCGCCTGACGCCTGTCAGTCGTGGCTGGACCCACCTGACGCCTGACACTGCAGCTCGGCACTGCCGCCCTGGCGCGCCGTCTGTCGCTCCGGCTTGATCGTCAGGCGGGTGGCTCTCGGCACTCGCACCTCGGCGCGCATCTCCTCCCTGCGCAGGCGGCGCGACACGTCACCTTTCTAGTCCTTGGGTAAGGTCAAGAGAGAGAGAGAGAGAGAGAGAGAGAGAGAGAGAGAGAGAGAGAGAGAGAGAGAGAGAGAGAGAGAGAGAGAGAGACTGAGACTGAGGGCGATATGATATATGTATATATACATGTACATGTATATGCATATACGTGTATATATCTATACACTCCTATAAACACCCCTATATATATATATATATATATATATATATATATATATATATATATATATACATATCTATATATTGTACGTTACCGGTATACAGGGTCTTGTGGATCTGTCATCGTGCAGATGTACACGCCTTCGTCAGCAGGCTGCATATCCACGATGGTCAACTGTCCGTTCAGCTGTGATGCCCCCTGCAGATCAAACGTAGGGAGGCTGGAGTGGCCTCAAGATATGCTTTGAAGGGAGTACTCCGCAATTGTAAGGATTTTGATCTGACATAGCCATCTTGCAGATCATTCGGTGCAGTTCATAGCCCTGTCCTTCTCAGGACATAAACTCCTCTAGTCTCTGTGCGACACGCCCGCGAAGATGCGCAAACTGTTTCGAACAGACTATTTCAAGGTCATTCAGATGTCCATGACGCTATAATGGCGTCATCAAAATTCGGTAATTCCATAAGTCGTGTGGCGACCAAGGCCAAGCAAACATGATTGTTGAGTCGTTCATAGCTTGCGTTCATGAGCACGATTTCCAGATATAGCGGCCGTCACTTGGGTCTCAATCAATGTTGTGCAGGGTACGATGACGTAATAAAAAATTACGCATTGAGGAGCATATTTACTAAACAGAGAATTTGTGTTGTCTAGAGCAATATTTCCACTGAAAAGTGTACCAGCAGTTATAAGTGAGGTTATTTTATCATATATCATGCTTGCTTCAATATCTTCAAATATGGAGCACTTCCTTTAGCCTATTATATCCACTTTTACATACAGTACATACAGGGCACGCATGATACAATGCACATATCACATAGTATGTACCATGTTTTAATGCAGTGTGCAATACGAATGGATTACACGTTGTAGACAAACTCATGGTTACTGCTTCCACAGTGTGTCGGAGTGCATGTGTGCAACCGTGTGTCTTAACGCAGGTTACAACGGACATGCGGCTGGGACCCTGGCCGCGTGCCGTAGCGGTGGCCAGCGGCACCACACGCCGTCCGTACCTGGGACAGCTGCTGGCCCTCCAAGCGGCTCCAGAGCGCGACAACGTCCGCCTGGGCCGAGCTGCAGTCGAGCTGGAGTGTGCCGCCGGCCGGCACCACCAGCCGCTGGGGCGCGGCCGGGCCGACCGTCGGCGGCGGCGCCGTCGGCTCGGCCGCGCTCACATAGATGATGGTGCGCACCGAGTCTGAGCCGGCGGCGTTGGTGGCTGTGCACGTGTACTCGGCCTCGTGCGCCTTCTGCACGCTGCTGATCACCAGCAAGCCGTCGATGAGTGACACCTACCGGAGTGGGCTCACGTTCTGTGGCTGCACCACCTGTCCTGGGTCCGGACGGCGGCTGAGGGAGCGCTCGGTAGGACAGAGGGCGGGCTACGTTTAACAGCGCTCGGGTGGGGGGTCAAATCGACCCCGCCCGAAGGTTTTTCCAGAATGGTTTCCGAATGGCGCGGTGCAGCGGCGCCAAATTTTGCATAGCTGCAGACAATTGAATCGCGGATCGTTTGACACCAAAATTTAGATGTACCTTGTAAGGTCGCTGACCTATGGCAGGTCAGTCATTCCACGGTTTAGCGAAGTCAATTTCTAAGGAATCGTCCAATCTGATGCATCAATGGCGTTTTAGACGAAGCCATACATCTCTGAGATTCTTTCTTACAAATATAAATTTAAATTTAATAAAAATATAAATTTTAACAAATATAACTTTCCTACAAATAGCAATACAAATATGAAATAAGCAAATCAGGTTGACTTAAGACCAAGTCTAAAGGTCAGACCATGGTCAAAACCAACCTGCTTTATTACTCTGGGGCCTGCTGATGGGATAGTCTCTGGTGCTCATTTCGAATTTATTGACAGCAAGAACTGCATTATACGTCTTCCAGAATAGGCCACTGACCTGAAATGACCCAGCTCAGGATTTTTTTTAGGAACATACTGCCTGGCGTAACCTTTGTCGCTTATCAATTGCAAAACCCCGAGCAGTCTTGTATGATTTTGGTCACCATGACCTTCAAAAGGTCAAACAAGGTCACTGACCTTAGCTGAGCATGTGACCTTCCGCTTAGAAACAGTTACCTAGGTTCTGGGGGCACTTGGAGACCAACCCGAAATTTGACCTTCTTTGACCTTATTTGGACCAAAGGTCATGACCTAGGAACCTCAAACTTTGACCTAAGTGAGTTCATGTACAGGTCAACACACCCTGTAAATTTAGGTGTCTCTAGCTTTCTTAGTTCCCGAGATCTCAGGGGGTCAAATTTATCCCCCCTCCCCACCCGAGCGAAGGGTATCTAGCCGGCCACCCGGGCGAGTGTCAGGCGTGGCGGGAGCTGACCCGCCGCGACATCTGCACTGAAAACTTGGCGAAAACTTGGTTCTCGCGAGACGTTTATCACGGGCATGCCTACGTTTCTTTACCATCCTGCCGATGGATAATTCATGTCATTTAGCATCCCTCGGGAGTACCGGTCAAGATGTGCCCACAAGCGTACTAGATTGCTCTTAGTAGGATGGAAGGTGGGAAGAATGTTTCACCCGGTCAAAAGTCACATGCCGTGCCTTCGACTTTTGTGTCGCGAGTTTGCTCTCTTGGGATGTTGAAAACGTTTCACGCCTGTGTGGTTTGATACACTGACTCTGTGGTTTGATTTGCCATTTGGCACATAGAAACAGAATTGGAATGTCCGGGATCCAGATAAAAGCATGCCTTCCCCCCCCCCCCCCCCATCATACTAATTTGTCATCCGCATGCTGCCGCCAGAGGAGATCCCACCCCTGGTCCACAAGGACTTCACCAACGTGAATCACATGAACACCACATGTGACGGACAGATAGGCACCAATCCGTGCGAAGTACCTGAACGCACTGCGGCGAGATGACGCATTACTGTCTGCCGGCATATAGCTAGGCACCAGGAAATACAGTACTATGAATCGCTTCACGTCTGATACTTGCTAGCCTTGTTTGCAAACGACGCTCATCCACACATCCACACGGTACGAGACGGCAGCTCTGGCGGACGGAGCGCAAACGCCACTGACGTCAGGCTCGATGATGTCGTTGCGGCCGCCGGTCCAGTGTAGTGCCGGTGGCGGGCTGCCCTCGGCCTGGCACTCGAGCTGGGCCGGCTCGCCGGCGCGCAGCTGCAGGTACCTCGGCGAGATGGTGACCCGCGGCGGCGACGGCGGCGGCGCCGGCTCAGCGGTCGTGTCCGGCTCCCCTGCGCGAGCAGACGGCTGAGTCGGCGTGCAGAGCCACTGCTCGTGACAAAGCTGTATTTAGAGCTGTGTAGAGCTGTATGTTTGGTTATATGTACTGTGTGGGAGGGCGTGTATACACATATCATTCACATCACGCGTGTCGTGCCAAAATAAAAGTGGATGGAGCCAGTGGCCTTTAAAAAATGAGCATAGCGAGAAATACGTGGATCTATGTGTTTTCGCTCGCAAATTTGGAAATAGCATTGTCTAAAAATACCTGCACATGGGAGAAACCAAGGCACATCTATTTCACTCTACAGGATGGATGAATGTTATAACTGTTAACTTGTTGAGCGTTACCACAGCACTGCGTGCAGCCCTCAGTTCGGGTATGGATAGTGGCCACGATGAACCGGTTCACCTCGCTTGGTGATATGCGGACGGCACAACGCACTACCTTTGCAGTCGGTTTCACGTCTTTGTCTCCCCTGGTTGCCGAAATCTCACTGCAATTTTGCAAAAATGTTCCAAAACCGGAGGATCGATTTTTTTGCACCCGAGCAGATGCATGACCGGTTGTATATATTGACCTGCACTTTGGTCAATACAATTGCCCATTTTATTTTCTTTCAGTTGTTGGTCCACCGTCGAGGCGCCCCGGGAACGTCGGGATTAGGATAAGAACTTAACGAGGTGGGAAAACCCCTAGCTACCCTATGGGAAGGATGACGGGCTGGTTGCGCAATGGGTAACGGGAACTTTTGGAAACATTACAGGTATGGGTACCGGTATGAATACGGGCACGGTTACGGGTGGCCGTAATGGGTAGCCGTATCCGGTTACGGCTTTCCATAACGGGTAGCTATAACCGGTTACGGTTTTTCGTAACCGTACCCACCTGACGTCAGTTTTGCAATTCTTACATAAAATGGTAAGCTTGTGTGCAAACGTCATGACACTTATCCATAAGTTATAGCAATGTAACCGGGTGGGAAACGAGTGAGAGTAACTGGATAAGAATAGATGCGTTTTGAAACGTCCAGAGTTCATATAGTCCGGTGGTAAAAAGTCCACAACCGCAGCATCCAGAGTTCCTAACATTCAGAAACCGTCCAAAACCCCTGGACGGAGAATCATAATGTTCATGCTCGCAGCGTCCCGTGTTCATAAAGTCCAATGCTCATAAAGTCCAGCGTGCGTGAGATCCACGGGTTGGGATGCTGTCCCGCTTCCTCGCAACCCTTCACCTAATAGTTCGGATATTGCACGACACAGAGCTACTGAAGCTGATTTCGCCCGCCTCAGCCTACGAGTGACGTCATGCGATACAGTGCTGCCCAGTTAAACCACTGTGCATGGACATGGACAACGTTTTGTTTGAGTGCACAAACTTTACTGTGTCAGCACGCCCTTGGCAGCAGGCGCATTAAGGAATTCAAAACTTTGATCCCTGGCTCGTGGCATCAAAAATAGCTGGTTATTCGTCAAGAGCTGCACGGCATTCGTGGAAAGCATTTGTCGGTTGCCTGCCGTTTGGCATTGTAGCCCATGGATAAGATTCTCCGCGGTATTTGGTTTCGTTATTTACTGTATGTGTTGGTCATGTTTGTCACTTTTGGAAGGAACTGATGACTGATGTGTAAGGCTGACTGATTTGATGTCTGCTCAAGGTAGGCGCGCATATAGATGTCCAGCTCTTGGCACGCTAACCTATATTGTTAGTGATTTTATTTAAATGATTCCCCTCCCTCCTTCAAGTGCAATTATTTCACACACTCCTGCAAACGGGACTTGTTCTGAATTATACATGCTTTTACTCTTAAAGAGAGGGGGTGGGGGCTGTCTCATCAGCTGAATCCGGATACTACTCCCTCGTGAGACACGCTCAATGGCCCAACCTACAAACAATTCGTTTCTTCGATTAAGTACGTTTTAAACGGGCGTGGTTTACCAAAATAAGTTGTTGGCTGAGCGACGAAAATACAACGACGAGTGCCGTAATAATATGCCAACAAATTGGTTTTCTCTCCGAATTTGGTTCACTTTCTCACAAATCCGCTGGCTGCAATTCAAGTTATGGCGGGGGGGGGGGGGGGGTGAAACCCCTGCAACTGAATAGGGAACCAAACTCCTGGTTGCAAATGAATAGGAAGTAAAAAAGCAAACGTTGACTGCGAATGTATTCGACTGCCCGCCAAACGTCACGCAAAACACTACGCACGTGTCGCACTTAAAGGACCTGTTGATTCACCATCTGAACAGCGGAGCCGAGCGTATGTCATTGGGCTGGTTTGCGATAGATAAGCTGAATGAATTGGGAGAATCGTGAGCTTGTATTCGCCATCCACTTCATCAATCTTGACAAGCTTTCTTCGTTTTACGCTTCAGAACCTCCTACGTATAAAATTTGGGTTCCAGCAACACCAGTCTGGAGTTTATCGAGACGGGTGCAGTTCGCGCCGCAGAGGGGCGATGGTGGCATGGTGATTAGTGGTTACGGTGCTCATCTCCGGTCTTTTCTATTCTTGGATGGAGTCCTAGCCACACCACCACCGCATCCCACGTACCTAATGCCTGATAGATACGTAAAAGAGGCGTTCCGCCTCGAAATAGCCAAAGCAGCCGGTGAGGCGTAAAGCCCCAATCGGTACTACAGCCCGTCCCGACAAACAAACTGCCGCCCGCCAAATTTTGCAGACAATAGTTCCGCTCAATCACTGTTTATATGCGGGAATGATAATGTGGAATCGGTTGGACGCGGAGCTCGGACACACAGGCCAGCCCAGAGGCTGCCCAGCTCGACGGTCCGGCCGGCAGCCACGCTCACAGCGAGCCGGCGGACGAGGCAGCCCGGCCAAAAAAGAACGCACTCACGCGCGCGCCGTCCCTCGCCCGAAAACCGAGCCTCGCCACACGCGCGCGAGGCCTGTCCGTGGGGCAGCCCGTGCGCGGTCGAAACACTGCCAGCTCAGTCGGGCACGCCGCCATCTTCGCGTCAGAGCCCGAGGTCCCTGACTCGGTTTCACTCGGTAAGCCGCGGTACACATCCCCGCGGACCGGACATCCGGACCTGTCGGACATCCCGGGATCTCGCTGGTGCCGAACCGGAGCCGCCCCCCCCCCCCCCCTCCTCTTTGGCGGGCGCCTAAATGGGAGAGCCTCGTGTCAAGCACAGGAACCAGCACCGGACAGGGTTCCTCTGCCCGTTTTCTTTAAGGCCCAAATGCGTCGAACTGGGATCCCTGTGCTGTTTATTAAACCCGCGACTCTTGGGACATTTTGAAACGGTGAGTGGCCACACGTTGATCCAGGGTCAACCATCTCGGTCAGAAGGCCTTCGGCGTCAGAGAGCGGACCAATGTATCGTGTTTAGTAGTAGTAGCCGACTGAAAATCTGAAATGGGACGGAAAGGTATTCTAGCCCCAATCGAAAAATGTATGGGGTCTCAAGTCTTGGCTGAAAACTCTATTGGTGTGTAGCTGTTGAAGGGGGAGAGGGGAGAGAAGGGCGAGGGGTCCAGGAACCCCTTGGGAGAAGCTCTTTTCGGAACTGTGAAGTTCAAAAAATGACCATACTGAATGAGAAGAGCAAAAAATGTTGCCTAATAAAAATTCTGACCATAACGTAGCAGCATCTAGCAGTCCAAGAAGCCCCCACTGGTAAACTCGTGGACCCCCTCTGGCCACTTAGTCGGGACTTCCTGGTCGCCAGGGTTACACTGGTATTTAAGAGCCCTTACAACTGCCTAGACCTCTGTTGTTCTTCAAACTATGGACACTAAGGGAAATGGAAAACTACTAGGATGCCCTGGTCGCTCAGGTGTCACTCACGTTCACCGCCCAGGCAGCTCAAGTAGCGCACACGGGAGATGTACAGGGGCCCATGCTTCGTCCCTTTTCGCCCAAGGGCTCTGGGGACAGACGACCAAAGGCCTGATTTGTGGCCCTGAACGGCACGAAGGGCTCGGTGGAGATCGTATTAGGAATCCCGATTCTGCGGCCCGGGTCCGCATAACCGGTATTATTTGTGTATAACCGGTATAACAAAAACAGATGCATGTAGTTATAAGACCCATGCAAGAAAAAGCACGAGATAAGTTAGGTTAGTTGTTCAGTGCATTAGCGAGGAACATTATTCACAGAGATAAGACAATAGTAGTATTAGCCTTATTCCTCGGAGAAAAACCAGGAGAATGGATATATAGTTGGGTTGATAGTTCGGCAATGTGCCTTTATCAAAACAATAACAGAAGTGAACCCAAAATTGCCTGCCGATGATCCTACTTGATTTTCAGGGCTTTTTTTAAACAGCAGGCCACAGTTCTTACAGGACACCAATATTCAGGGGATTAAACAAAGAGCGATTGTCAGCCATTACCACGATACAATGCCTATCTAACAATTAGAATGCGCGAACATACATGCACATGCAAACGAATTCAAGCCAATGGGCATCACGCTTCATTCAAACATGCAAGCAGGTTGACGTAAACAGACCTCACACATCACCCATCAACCATAAATGTAAACGATCTCAATTGAACAGGAATCGCACATCACGCGGCAGGCATCATTTACTCGTATAAACGATTTTAAGCTAGCACACATCACACATAAAGGCACATATCACGTTCGCATAATCGACAATGATGAGCAGTGTATGTTGAGATCTGGTCGCCGACTTTTTATAATAACGGATTCATTTATTTTCCTCTCTGGGTGGTCCTGTGCTCTGTAGGTGACTACAGAGCAAATCCGTCTACAGAGCACAGAATGCCTACAGAGCACATCCATCTACAGAGCACAGGACAACCCAGACAGGAAAATAAGTGACTCCATTTTGATAAAAAGTCGGCGACCAAATCTTAGCATACAGGGCTCAGCATGGCCGTTTATGCGGACGTGATATGCGCCTTTATGTGTGATGTGTGCTAGCTTAAAATCGTTTACTTGTGTAAGTGATGCCTGACGCGTGATGTGCAATGCCTGTTCAACTGAAATCGTTTGCATGTATAATTGA